ACAGTACCTCATTGGTGCAAATTATTGTTTGAAAGTCACCGCTTATGTTTGAGTATCAAAATGGTGACACAGACATCTGGAAGAAACTTGGAATTCTTGGCTGCTATAACAAGACTTTGCTTTTGAGTACATACACCTGTAGAAACTTGCAAAAGAGAAACGGTGTCTTTATTGTTGACTTCCAACAGTGAGCTAAAATATTCAGAGTTTATAAGCCTGTTCAGGTCACAGAGAGAAGTAAACATGCTCCAGTAGATAGATAAGTGTTTCTATCCACTCTCTACTCAGCTAGATTGGCAACTGTTTTAGTTTCCTCCTTTGGCTTAAGTATATGATAAAGTCAGTGTACTATATGGGATACAAAAATAGACACTTGGCTCCTTAACATGGAGCTCAGCAGCAGATGCTTGTCCAGCATGCATGCTTGCAGAACCGTATGCAGGTTCAGCTTTGCATGAGGTATGAAAATGTTATATTATTATTTTGAATATTTAAATGTTTAGTTGGTTATTAGGTCAGACATACAGTTAGAAGAAATGACTTTACAATAGTGCACAATAGCACTGTCATCCTCACTAAACTGATCGAATCCAAACTCAAGGTTCACCTCATAAACATCACCAAAAACTGTGTAGAAGGACGGGCAGTAGTAGTTGTCTGTACAGGTGGTGGTAGTAGTAGTAATAGTAGTAGCACAGAAATTATGATAGACATAGGTGTATTTCTTTCACATGCTGGAAACCATACATTAAACAGCAGTATTATTAGTTATAGTAGTAGAATCAATCACCACTGTTTCCCTGTATTGTTAGCAGTAGTAACATTATCAGCAGTAGTAAATAGCAGAAGTTTATAATAGAAAACAACTATATTTATTAGCTCGTGACAATCTTTAAGTCAGGGTGTGAGTATGGTTTTATGTTCCTTAGGATTTAGTTTTACCTGAGAACATCGGGTGTCACATTTCTCTATCCTCTCCAGTCCTGTGCTTTCTGCTGAAGCTCCATTCAGACCCAAACTACAGTGAGCCATCAGCAAGGCCACCCACAGGATCATGTTTACTAGCCAGCCTTCTACTGCTCCGCTTCCTCTGGATCCTATGTTCTGTTACTTTTTCTTCTTGTTCTATATAGTACTGGCTGAGTGGTGGAGTCAGTGGAGGCTTGGCTGGCAGACTGCCTGGTATATGAGTTGGATGATGAGAAGGTCCTCAGTGTGATGATGTCCAGTGTGTAGTGTGCTGGGGCAGATCCAAGCACACAATGTGAAAGACAAGCTGCTGAAAAGAGTGGATTTAAATGTTCCCTTAGTGGAGGCGGGGCCTCTAGGTTGTGGGTATATTTGTGTGTGGGAAAGGTTTTACTGTAATGTGGCACATACTGTAGTCCCTCTGTACTCTTACTTTCTACATTTGAGTCGTATAACTCATGACACCATTTTCTATTTTACAGTCAAAGCAATGAACCTCAATTAAGTGGAAATGGTACCCCTGCCAGCACCGCAACCACCCACACCAAACACACACATACACAATTGAAGTCTGTTTCAAGATTTACTGGAAAAGATTCAAAAATCACAATATTTCACAGGTTACTATTTCGTCAATTCATACTGTAAACACCATTCCAGAAAAGAAAAATGGACCAGGCACTTCTTTTTTCTTGTGGAAAACATTTACTGCTACTACTATTAAATCCTACAAAAGGTCGTTCTTTGAATCCAGTCATGGGGGAGATGATACAGTTGTTGAAACTAGATACAAACATGATGTTCATTATGTCATGTTTACCCTACACAACCTTACCTTTGTGAAAGCCACGGGGCAGGGAGTGCTTTGTGTAAAAACATAATTACTTGAATAATTTTGGGGGGGGTTGGGGGGTGGGGTACTTGTAACGCAGGTCATGTTTCGACATTTGGTTGAGAATGTTAAAACAAAAAAAGCGGTCATCCAAAGCATCAGTTAGTCAAAATAGTGGCCCCTGACATTTAACTCCCCAATGATGGTATGAAAAAACTTCCTCTTGGCTGTATGCTACAAGTGCATGTCCTTAAATGGGCAACACACTGTAGGGTTGAAAGAAGCTGGAAGGGCTGTAAAATCTGAGGATTTATTTGCATGTTTTAAAAAAATAATAATTTATTTAATTTGCAATAGCTGATTTTGTTTGCTACTTGGAAGCAGCAGAAACAAACAGCGAGGAAACCACTGACATATTGTAACCTTCAATGTTGATGTGACAAACTCACAGTTCCTCTTTTACATATCAGTGCATACAGATTAACTCCATTAGCCAGTAGACCAATTTCAATATTCACTCTCCTTTTAGCTTTTAACCAACTCCTGAGGGAAATATTTGGCTCTTTAGCTGCTAAATGCTCCACAATGTTCACCGGCTAGCTGCTAAATGTGTCTGCCTGATGTTGTTGTTGAGGAAAACAGCATCTGGCTTTGGCTAAAAACTACACTATGACAGCAGTAGAAGTGAACCAAAACAGAAAAATGGAGGGCCCACAAACTGAGCTGAAAGAAGCTATAAACTCTGTAGAGCTGTGATAATTCTCTGTTGGTTCATTACTACGAGAGTTCCCTTTCACATCATACAGAGGCATTATAGCCACTCTACGGTAATCATTCAGCATATAAACAAACTGTGATTCACATTTATGGTTCGTTTACACTCTTTATATTACAGCTCTTGTCCTCTAATACTGAGCAACACTGAAGCACATCAAGCATAAACAATCCTCACACCATTTTCCTTTTCTTACATTCATTCATAACAACTACTCGTACTGCCAGGGGCAATATGTGCTACAGAGAGAAGTCGCTCTAACAAAACTAAAAAGATGTTCTTGCCACTCTTGGGAAAAAGCCTTCAAAGAGATTACCAACATAAATCTTTCAAGTACTTCCAAGATGATCTCAGGTTATTTGATAGTCTTGATGGCAGTTCATCACTGGTCAACACAGGTAAACCGGGGCATTCTAAAAGTCTGCGTGGCATGTACCAACAGAGACCCTGCAGTGCAGCTGCATGAGCAATACTTCTAATTGTGGATTGCTTTCAGGAGCTTATCTTCTTCTAACAAGAAGATAAGCTCACCGTTGTGTGTTGTGCAATGCCAACAAAGCACAAGACCATGAAAGACAAGAAAACTGATTACTGCCACTCTCAGTTTCAGTCTGAACAAAACTGATTCTTGGAGTTCATGGCCTTAAAAACAGATCTTTTCATTATGTAAACACAGAAGAGTTTAATCTCAAGGATGAAGCCTCTGAAAAAAGAAAAACCACCACCCAGTTACCCTTGTGCCACAAATAGAGTATCCAGCTTTATTATCATTGTTGTGACAACCAGAAATCAATAGGCACACACAAACGAACAATTGGCAATGAACTAGTTTGCATTAAGCACTTCCTCTGAGCTTCCTCTAAATGTTAGTGAGGTAGAACTTTACAGTATTGATATGACCTAGACCTGGAGCAAATATTAACAAATGACCAATTGATAAAAGAGCTATTTATTTTCTTCAGAGTTCTTGTTAATGTTTCCCTGAGGAGCACTATGTGGTTTCCTGAATAAAAAATCCATTGGTACATTGCAGAGTCATTGGATTATCAGTTGGTAAAACCATCTACCTTTGTGTAATGGCTCTATCTACTGGGATTCAGTGTGTATTACAGTAACTGCCATTTCCCCACAGTCACGACATGTACTTTGCTGTGTTTCTATGTGATGATAATGGCATTATACAAGTTAGTAAACCTTCAATAATCAGTAGTGGGTTTTCAATTATAGTGAGCTACCAAGTCTGCAGTCCTAATTGTTGGTAATTCGTTAATAAAGACACACAGTTGTCATTTTACGGCCATATAAGTTATCAAGTCTGCAGTTTTTACTCTAAGAGATTCCTTCACTGGAATCTTATGTCATGCTACATTGAGGGGTCTTCCAGGTACAGTAAAGACACTTTCTGAAGTTATGCTGCAGGGTATACGTTATAAACCCTCTATAAGTAGTTGCTAAATAAACGTACACTCATTGGCTTTTGAAATAGGCCAAATTAGAGTGCTAACAGCATTATTATGTTGACTTCTCAAAACGTGATTAATATCCTAGGGCCATAATTTTAAATGTGTCCTCTTACCAATAATATCCCTCTTGGCTGCACAAGTCCTTTCCTTCCAGTTGATTAATTAAATCCCTGTTGTCATCAAACGGCAGTAGAAATGATTCTGCGCTCTCTGCACTCTATATTTGGATGGATGTGCTGCGCGTAATTACGCACGGGTCAGCTCATATCTTCAATAATTTATCAATATGTTAATATCACAAAATAATAGCTAACCCGATCGTGAGTTTGTCTCCACACCAGACTGGCGAGCTATTCAGAGAGTGAAATAATTTAAAGGAGGCTATAATGGACGCCCTCTGGGTTTTGTTTCATGGCAACCGTTATGTAAGCGTCCAGGGTCAAGTGATATGTTGTAATATCTCGTTTAGATAATTTGACAGTATAGTGGAGGCCTACCGGACATCTCAGCAGTGACAGCGCAGACTGCAGAGCAGGAAATGCGTCTCTTTCACTGTGAGCTTCTTGGCCCCTTAGCCCCAGGAGATTTCCGTGGGTTTCTACAGCCTGTATAATGCACTAGGCCTGACTTATGTTTAACCTCCTGTCAGCCGCTGTAAGCTTCTCATGCTGCGCTGTAAGAGTTATCAATCTCTGCACAGCCTGCACTGCAAAAAATATCAGCCTCCCCGAGTCATTTAGCCCACCGACCCTCGGACATTCCGTTAACAAAGTTATAGCAAAGTTATAACAGAGTAGCAAAGCAGTTTTTTAAATCTCACATCACTAGACATTTTTTTTATTATTATTTTATGATTTTTAAATTCAGTCTTTAAGTAGATATTGACCTATGCTTGGAGACCACACAGGGAATAAACATTTCTTGCAGTGTGCATCCATGGTTGCGTCACATGACCCGTTAATCTTGTGTGTATTTCCGCGTTCCCGACGATCGCGCCGTTATCAATGACTGTCCATGGGGTTGTGCAGGGCTTTATCTAAAGCATCATTGCTGTTTTCAGCGTCCTCCCTTGCAGCTGCGGCTGTTGTCTCCCGTCTGAATGAATGACGCTTTAACCATCTGAGGGCCTCCTCCTCCTGCTGCGCCTCTTATTCTCCATCGAGCCTGTCGTCGACCAGCTTGGCCGAGCTGGGGGGCAATCCGGGGAAAGGGAGCCGCGGCGCCGCGCACCGGGCGACGGACGCCCCGCCGCCGCGACGCGCCACCAACATGCTCACCCGGGTCAAGTCCGCCGTGGCCGGGTTCATGGGTGGAATCGTGACCGGGGGCAGCTCCGGTGGAGGGGGGAACACCGGGTCCGAGCTGCCGCTGAAATTCCCATATATGAGACCTCAGTTCCTTGGACTGTCCCCGGATGAGATCGAGTGCTCCGCGGACCACATAGCCCGGCCAATCCTCATCCTGAAGGAAACCAGGAGATTACCGTGGGCCACCGGATACGCTGAGTAAGTAACCCGACGGCAGCTGCCCTCAAAGCTGCTCCTGTTTTCAAAGTTGTCATCACAGTGGCATTTAATGTAAAGCATCGGCGTTGAGTCTTTGGATTTGCTCCCTATAAGGTACAAACATACAGGTATATCTGCACATTCTTAGGTCTCTTTCAAATGAAAACTCCTTTTGCGTGCAATTGCATACATTGCATCACATTCACATTGCGTGCTGTTAGAAATGGATGACAGCATTCATGGTTGTCACGTGCAAGAGGATGATGCGTCTTGTCCCAGCAGCAGCTGGGTATTATCTACAACTTTGCTCTACTTATGGCTAGCTGTGTATCAGACTGTGATTGCATGTTAGTAGCATCTAGATATACTGCAGCAAACCAGTTCAAAAAGATGCAAACTTATTTTCTGGCTTGGCTTACCTGACTCCAGATTGCTGACTAGTCCTAAATGCAGTTAGGTGAGGAGTTTGTGGCTGTTTATGCTGATTCCACAAGCATTTACTGTCTCTAAAGCTCGCCAACAAGCAAACTATATATACTGTCTCACAAGGTAATATTTTAGCATCGTTGTACAGTTTGTGTTGCTGAGATGTGTTGTTCAGATCTGCCTTGAGAAGAGTGCAGGATGTGACAGATAGTTACAGAAGTGCAAAAGTCCTAAGTGAGATTTGTTTAGCACTTTATTTTGGATGGAGTGGAATGACGGTGCACCACCACTGTCACATTCATTAAGGGAAGTTTCAGTGTGAGGCAGGCAGAGGTTCATTAATAGCTTGGGTATATGATAGTTGACTCCCCATAACAAAGGCACAACATGCAACCTGTAACTTGATGTTCATTAGCATACAGCACCTCTACTGACTTCATCATTAGTAGAATTAATGCACAGGGAGTTGCCATGTACTGATGAAAGGTCATCTCAGCAGTGAAGTGAATCACCAGGACATGGGCATGGTGCAAGACATACTACTGTCACTTACTGGGCATGTAAGTGACTGCAACAAGAAGTTAAAACGACTTTAACTTAAATGCCAGGAGTCAGTGTGTTTCCTATCATTATTTAACCACTACTGTACATGGCACATGGCATAGCAGGGATCCCATTGTGTGCTACATTATTTTTAACACAGTAACTCAAAAACAAAACATGACAGACACATAAAACCTGCACCACAGCTTCGCCTACACAGAAAACGTGGTATGATTCGATTTGTTATTGATTACTGAGGGAAAACTGTCAGCTCAAAAGTGTTGTAAGTCTCTCTTTCCACCCTGATACCAGTAATGGTGTGTGCTTAACATTTCACAATAATTTACACTGAATCTTGAGTAGTTACCAAGGAACAAATCAGGAACCAACTTCCTAATTAATCAAGTAGGCCTAGATAAAGATAAAAACCATTATCTGATAAGTGTTCCTAGATATCTGTGGATCAACCTCCTTTACGTCCTCATTATGTAAATATCAGCTACTATATTTGTGGCCCCTTAGATACAGTGGTGTGTCATACTGAGTTGCTAGTAGAAATATTCCATTTCTTCATGATTGCTATACCAATACATGCCATTTCTGTGACCTATAGTGCATCGTACATTATGAACCATGGCAGAACAAAATCTTTCATATTCAGGTTGTAAACACTGGGTTATGTTGACTTTTTCCACTCTTGATGCAGTTTTGTATTTTTAATAGTGAGAGCAAGAGTTATCCCTCAATATGTATTTCTGCAAGCACACTATTCCCCAATCACCATGAATAACAGGCTTAAAATAACAGTTTAATTAAAGTGTTTACATGGAGTTTGCAGGATTGTTTGTTAATCGGGTCAGTGGGCACATCTTCCTTTCTTTCTCTCTCTTTAGCACACACGCACATTCACAGCACACTGCTACTCAGAGCAGGGAAGGAGTGCCTCTTTGGGACCGGTGTGGTTAATGAGTTCAGCTCCTATCAGCATTTATCTGTAATTAAAGCCTCCTCTGTTGTCATTACAGCTCTCACTTCTTCCACCTTTCACACTCTACATTTTTCTGGTCACAACAAAAGCAGCACAACAAAAGTCAGGAATTGACTACTCAATACATTTTTTTAAAAGGTTGATCCAAGACCATTCAGAGTCATAGTCAAATCTTTTGTTGTAGTGCTGATAATTGATTGCCCAAACCCCTCCCTGAACTGTGATTGTTCAATCAACCACATCTAGTTTATACTTCAGCAACCCCAGCCATACCCGTTACGAAAGAAGGCATCATGTTCGTTCGGTTCGACTATATCCTAAAAACGTTCTCTCTTGAAACTGTAAAAGCGAAACATACTGTTTGAATATGAAAATATAGACAATAAAACATTAATCTAACCACTATCTGAAGTATTTAAGCTGATAAGCAGACAAAGATATACAGCTTTAGCCTCAGCGTTTTAGCACAAAATCATGCATGTAGCCACCAAGTGCTTATTTACCATTTTACAAGGTTCTCATATTCTCGGCAAGCGGAATCAATAAAACAGTCGGAGATTGATTGTTTTCAACCAATTATGGAGCTAACATTAGCTTAATTAGCTAGCTAGCTATAGCTGATAAAATCTGCCTGCGACCGTTGTTTTTTCAGATGGCAAAATTAACATCACACAAATTAGTAGGTGATTTTGTCTACCCCAGTCTGAAACCAACAAACCATTGTTTCACTTTAAACAGTTCCTTTGTAACTCCATATTGAAGAAGATATCTAAACTTGCCATTCTTACATTCTATTCAGACTCTCCCATTTTGCTGTTGTATTTCTTATCTCTTATATTCAGGTGGCAGTCTAATCCTGACCAAAACCTGCAAGAAAAAATACAAAATTTGGACTTTTTGAATGATGCTTTTAGTATTTCACTCATAACCCTTTCACTGTTATTGTTCCTTTGATGTTCAGAGAGGCAAAGCTATGAACCATTGTGCTTCGCCAAATAATTATCACATCCTTGGGGCCAATGTCTGGACCAGAATCTCTTGCCGAGAGGGTAGAGAAACAAAGAGGGCATAAGATGTCTGACAATGGAGAGGAAAATTAGGTTTTGTTCCTAATGGGGGAAAAGCTAATTGTTTTGAATGAAGCAAAAATTTGATTGGCAGGGAAATGAAATGACTCTTGCAAATGGTGAAATGAGGACAAAATTGGATGCAAGAGCACTTTCAACCACACACACACACTATAGCACCAGCTGCACCTACCATGGAATAGAACACAGAATGATCCGCAATTGATTTAACCCGTTAAATCCATTTCAGTCGTGAAGGATGATTATTGTTTTTGATAATAGTTCTTACATTCAGGGTTCAAAAGTTCATATGAACATTGTAATCTTTGCGTACACATTATTGTGTTCATTGAAAGCAAATTAGATGAAGCAGACAAAGGCTTCCTGGACCTCTGTGTGTCAATGTAGTGTTTTATAGCCGAGGTCATTTTCAACTATAATTGTGGGTGCAGCTGTACCATGTTAGGTTTGAAAGCAGAGCTGAGTAATCACGGTGAAGACCAGCACTCTGGACGTGATGGCTTTTATACTATGCATGTGTGGTGAATGACACATCATTACCAAAGCAGTGCCAATTTTAGCTCAGGAGCCCTCGATACCGCAAGACTTAGCATGGCGTCCAGTTCCATTGTTGACACAATATTGCTTATGGGCGTTATTAGCACTTGAAGTACTTCATCAAACGTTGCAGTGCTGTGTGAAGCTTCTTGCCTGTTGCTGCCATTAGTAGTTGTCAGTTTGCAAATATGTATAATGCAGGTTTCTGATTTATGTACAGAAGAGAAATTGGATTTGAAGTGCCGTATTATCCCCACTGTTCCAAAAACCCCAGCAGAGGCTAATTAACCATGTTTCAGTGGAGCGTTTTAATAGTCTGAATGTAGTTTAGAAAGACCTTGTTTCTGCATCCTGTAAAATGTTTACTGATCAGACAAGAATGCTGTTCACATTTTAAAAGATATAATTGACAGGGGTCCATGGTTATGGGATTTCCACTGCAGTCCATAACAGCAAAATGGCCAAACAAATGTACACTTTAAAATACAACAGCCTTTATTGATTTGGTAGTCTCTTAGGTACCTTCTATCTCTCTTTCTTGAAACCTGGAGAGTATCCACTCAGTTGCAAGGCTTTCAAGACAATATCTCTCTCTTTCTCTCACTCACCCCACCTCTCTTTGTCTCTTTCTCAAATTCAAAAATGCTGTATTTGAGTAAATGGTTATTGGCCATTTTTACAAAAGCAAGTATGCAGCACAAAATAAAAACAATGTAAACAATGAAAAATTAGACTGTACATAAATATTTACATACTAATTTACAAGCTGCCAGTAATGCATAAACTGTCACTTTTGCTAAGAATCTCTGTGCTATGTCTTGCTGTTTCTTCATGACCCTGTCCCTATCTTTCTCTTTCTATATACGGTTATCAAGCATCTAAGGCAGAAAACCAGACGTGCTGCCTAGTAGAAAACATCCACAATCTGTGTCTATAAATAGGCGTGCCAATTTCTCAACTCTCACACGCGTTCACAACACCCTCCAGAGATGTCTGACAGACTTGCCAGTCTCATTGGAGCTGTCTCCAAAATCAAATTTTTTCAATATTTATTGGTAGCCCAATTACATTAGCTATGTAATTGGTTTGGAGTTTGGTGGGGTTTAGCAACCAAAGATAATTACATCTTACAATTTAAAACAAGACTAAGAGACTTAGTATTGGGGGGGTTGTGTACCAATCTGCCCCCCTCAGTGTATAAATAAAATATATATATATATATATATATATATATATATATATATATATATATATATATATATATATATATATAAAATTGTATCTGGTCACAATGCAGGCAGAACAGAGAGACAGGGGGAGGGAGAGGCATGCTGAAAGCAATGGCCAGACAGGGACATCATGCTCTGGAGATACAGATGACCAGGCGAGAACTTAGGCCAACATGTCAGGGGTAAAGACATCTGGTAATAAAAGCAGAAATTTCAAATTAAATTGATCATCAAGGTCAGTAATTGTTCATCTTTTTAAAATAATGATATCTGGTCACAATGTAATTGTCTAATTGGTTGGTGTGTTTAACGTCAGTAAACAGTAAGCGTGGCAGCTAGCTACTGTCTTGGAGAAATCACAGGCTGTTTGTTTAGATGTCAATTTACATGGTCATTGTAGTTGTCAAAAATATGTTCTTAATGCGCAAATTTTCATGTACAAATATATGGAATTTTTTCCCAGAGGGACTGCGCTCATCTGGACCCCACCAATGTCTGTAGGGTTAGGGTTAGGGGTAATGCCCCTGATACATCCATGCTAGTGGCTCTGAGAGTGGTGCTTTGAGCTAAACGTTAACATCAGCATGCTTAGATGTTAAGCAGGTATTATATTTACTATGTTAACCATCATACTAGCATGCTAACATTTGCTTACCACTAAACACAAAGTAGAGCAGAGTCTGATGTAAATGTCATTAGTTTGCAGGTATTTGGATATAATACAAGGTATTGGACAAAACTATTCTTGACCTGATGATGGTGTTAATGGCATTGTTACAGTTCATCCTGTGGGACATAGGGGTGACTGATAATCAGTCAGGTATTTTTGTGATATTGATGTTCTTGATGATATGACAAAATGCTGAAAAAAGAACTCACAATAGCCATTGAGCTCTCCTCGTGGGATTTTTGGTAGTTTGGGAAGTTTGTTGTATTTCCCTCTTTTGTTGTTAGTCTTCTTGCACTTCTTACGTATTACTGTGGTTTGCTGGACATATGATTTCATATATATTTTATAACCAGACCACTTCCACACTACTGAAGTCGCTCCCCTTTTTGGAACAAACCCCCGAGGTGTCAGTAACAAGGTTACTTTCGCTTTTAGCCTCACTTGTTGTTGCAGTATGTACGAGAATGACGTCTATATATCAACAAGCCATTATCTTGCCATAATTTTGCTATTATCACGATATGATTTTTTTTTATCATAGTAAAAACTATATAAATATATACAGTATATATCAACGATTTGACATGTCACACCCTAGCGGGTCATATACGCATGTCCATACCAAATTTTGTGACTATTGAATACTAAGAACACATATAGCCTCATGGTGGTACTAGAGGACTAGAGGGTATCTGATGAGGGATGGGGTCAAAATTGTCATCAAGTGGTGAAATCTGGAAAATAAAAGAGAAAATAGGGACATCACTTTTATAAAAACCACACAGTTATTGTGTGGCTGTCCTTAGTCGTTGCTGGGTTACATGTCTTCTTGGTGCCATCTCTCTCTGTGATCTGTCATAAGGGACAAAGGATGAATAAGACACACACACAGATTTGGGCATGCATGTATAGTCACACACTAACAAAGACTTCTAATTTACCCAGAAGCGACTGTCCTGATGCATCAGGATTGTCGCTTCTCCCAGCAGAGCAGTACCACAAATGAGCTCTTCTGTTTCATCTTCATCAGGGACATGAAACATGCAACGCCAGCTGCTTTGCTGGGTGTACAGAAACCTCAGGCTGTGGTTCTGACTAATTGTTGGGATCCTGCCGTGAGCCATAATAACCATGAAAGACTGCAGTACTGTTTCATCCAACAAAACCACAGCTGTCAGACTGCGAAATCATAGCAAGTGGTACATCTGTTGCTTGTAACAACATTTTTAATGAAAAAAAATTAATGCCAAAAGTATGTTGCCATATGTTATTTTTTATATAATACGCTGAATGGCTCTAGACAAGCTAACAGTGCAAGCCTAAAATATGAGTTAACCTGTATACATCACGCTCCTGTTTCAGGGTGATTAATGCTGGTAAAAGTGCGCTGAATGAGGACCAGGCCTGCTGCGAGGTGGTAGTAGCGAGAAGGAGGCCAATGAGCTACTGCCCTGCCTCCACGCCAAGCAAGACCCCCACGGCCAAGAGAAGGAACTCCCTGCCCAACGGAGAGGGCCTGGGCCTCCGTATGGACCACGGGAAGCTGGGAGAGGTAAGAAAACACATACACACTCCATTGTACTGTACATGATACATTTATAAACAGTTTTGCTCACAGGCATACACATGCATAAACAGGGAGCAGTGACCTAACTAGTGGAGCTACTCGGCAGTAAACAGTTGGAGTGTACGTTCACAAGTACTGTATACACAGAGCTGGATGTGCAAACCTGTGGTGTGTTTAGTTGTGGTATGTAGCGTGAATCTCATTTTGAAAACAGGAATGGTAGAGAATGATGGTCTGCAACTAACATTTATTTTAATCACTGAATAATCTCCAGGTTATTTTCTCAGTTGATCAATTTGTGAAAAATGGCCATCACACTTTTCCCAAAACCTGAGGTGACATCTTCAAATCGCTTGCTTTGTTTGTTGCACCAATAGTCCAAAACTCTGTGATATTCAATATCTCGGACATTAATATCGATTTAATACATGCAAATTGTGACAGCCACTCTGGCCAGGATACAACACACAAATGTTTGTCATGTACATCTATTCAGTGGCACCTCCGCAAACAGGCCAGCCATCACAAAAACTGTGAGAACTGTTGTATCAGAGGAAGCAGTCGAGACAGATTTTTGAGCACTTCATAGTACTGAATCTGCCCCGTTAAAGGTACATAATGACATCGTTCGGTCTGTCGACTCTGGCTAGTGCCATTTTAGTCCTATTTGATTTGGAATTTTATTAAATCGCCTGGAGGGAAAAGTTGGTCTACAGGGCACAGTGTTAAAATGATGTACCTCCTACCTGAGAGAAAGAATTTTTACTGTTAGAATGGGAAATTGTTCATCTTCTCCTGTTGCTATTAGATGTGGCAATGCTCAATTTTAGGCCCTCTCTTATTTTCACTATAGATGCTTCCCCTTGGTACTATTTTTGTGAAGTACAATATTTTCACTGTTACGTGGATGACACACAGTTCTACATACCAGTTACACTTGACAGCACACACTCTCTGAAAAACCTCTTAAACTGTCTGAACGATATCAAAGGCTGGATGGCAAGGAACTTCCTTCAACTTAATGAAAACAAAACTGAGGTAATTCTATTTGGCCTTCCAAGTTCTGTCACTAGCTTGAGCAATTTGCTTGGTCCCCCTTGGTCCTTCTCACGCCTTACAACTAAAGGTGACCGGCCCTTTTCTGTCGCTGCCCCAAGGCTTTGGAATAGTCTTCCATCTAATATCAAGTCCTGCCTACCACTGAGAACTTCAAATCAAATTTAAAGACCTACCTTTTTTCTCAGGTTTTTATCTGATCCTGTCCTTTATTTTTAATTTTTAATTGTTCTCTCTCACCATTTTAACCTGATGTTATTTATTTCTTTTTAGCTTTGAATAAAATTTTCACCCAGTACTCCATATTCATATTGATTTGTATTGGTGTACTAGTGTTGTATTGTGTATTTAGAAACACAATGGTATATACTTTCTGTTCTTTTGTTCGTTTGTATTTGTATTTGTGTGTGTCGTGTACTTGGAAAGCACTTTGGGTCAACTGCTGTTGTTTTTTAAATGTGCTATTGCTATATAAATAAAGTTGACTTAACTGGACTTGACAGATTGTAACTAACCCTGCCCTAATGTCACTGGAGAGTTCATTCAGAAATCCATAAAGTTGTGTCCAAAGTAATTTGTTTCCGAGGTTACACCCTCTGCGCTTCGTGGGAAAGCTTGTAGGTGATAAGTTTTGCTACAATTTTAATGGGGAAAATCTATCTACACAAACCCAACCTAGTAAACGTATACACTTTGCTTCGAATAAGCTTCAAACTTAAAAACAAACTACATGTAACTGACGTTGGTTTTGTGGTTAAGTTTGCTGCCAGCAAGCCTTAGCTGAAATTACAGCAGAAAAAAAACAGCTTTCAAGGTCAGGTAATGACGTGCAGAATGACGAGCAAAGACATGACAAAGGTGTGAGAGGGAGCATTGCCTAGGGAGAGAAATGAATAGAGAAGGAGGTTCGACCGCTGCAGCTCCCCCACACCACTGGACGGGATGAGTCATGTTGTTTTCTCCTGGGTCTCTTCTCTGGGTCCCAGAGATGACTCATGTACTACACATTCAGCAAGCAGCATAAGTCATTTAGCTTTATGTTTTTCTTTGCTTTCAGATGTGTATTGTGATTTTTTTTTTTTGCCCTTTTTGGCTCTTTTGCTGGTCCTGCCTGTAGTATGCAGACTTTCCACTGTAAATGTCCAGTGTTTTGATCAGTAGGCGATAAAATGAGAGGTGCTGCCATCCCCCTTGTTTGCAAAATCACCCCCTTGTTAACCTGCCATCCCCCCTCTCCATCCCCTTGTAGCAGGGAAAGTGCAGGGGCAGATTAGTTGAATATGTAAGTTTTGTCTGCCTGACTTATTGATCTTTTATCTGACTGAGGTTTGTGCAAGTTAGAATCTATGGCCCCCGACCATGGCTCTGAAATATCATTGCCTAACTGTGCTGTGTATTGATAAATCCAAGGCAAGTCCGTGGTGCTGAAGTAGTATTTGTAATTGCACCTTTTTCTCTCAGTACAGTACAATACCCAATTATTGTAGCCTATATACTAATAGAGTGACAAGTAGCACTGTGTAAATTAACTTAAAAATGAGCAAATCACAGACTGGTTTTGGCTCCTGTCCCTTGTAAATACATGGAAAATGTATTTTGTTGCTAATGATGTAAAAAAATATCATGAGTTAACAAAAAGGCCAGCTTATATGTCATAAAGGGAATTAACTTTTTTCCAGTTACAGACAGAAAAAATCTGTTACATCTGGATGTGGTTTAAGTTTAGATGTTTCTAGACCACAGCCACAAATTTATCTTTTTCTTCTTGTGTATGTTAAAATGAGTCAGATATTTTTAAATAATATTTTTTTATATGTAAGGATTTCTGTGGCACGCTTCAGACTCCATGGAGTCCACAGACTCTGTTTAACCGAAACTCCATTGGTGAATTCGGCTTCACAGTAAATAACTGATGCTGAGTGCTGATCTTCTTTTAGATCCTCTCTATGGAAACTCTTATCTGACAGTGACAGACAAATGGTGGGTGGTATACTGTATGTGAAGAAATGCTAAAAAGATATATTCCCTTTATCATTTTTGGCATGATTGTATGGTCAGATGTAATTATGTTTAATTCAGCTGTTAATTTCCTTTGTAACTTTGTGCTGTTGAACTTGATATGAAATCAACATTCTTTTTGTATATGTGTCTGCAGGACAGTGAAGGACTTGTGTTCCACTACTGGGCCTTGTTCGACGGCCACGCTGGTTCCGGTGCTGCAGTTGTCGCCTCTCGCCTACTACAGCACCACATCGCCTGCCAGCTCCAGGCCGTCATCGAGATCCTACGCAACCCAGCCTCCCTGCCTCCAACCGTCCTGGGCGAGGAGCCCGACAACAACCCCTACCTCCAGGGAAACACCCCAGGCCCTCACCGAGCCCTGAACCGGGCCGCTTCGCTGCGTGGGGCAGCCGGTGCGGCAGGTTCCCCGTGCAGCACCCCGCCTCCACCGCGCTTCTTTACTGAGAAGAAGGTCCAGCATGAGAGCTTGGTGATAGGAGCCATAGAGAACGCCTTCAAAGAGATGGTGAGAGACAGGTGCAAGGTTATGTTACCACTCATCCTGACTGATTGTTCCTGAAAGCTTTCACACTCACTGGAAATCACTCTGTATTGCATCATTACTTAACATTTTAGGATTTTGGCTGAGACTCTTGTATAGAGAAATGTACTGTGAGGTTGCAGAAAGGTGTTCATTGTCCTCCTGCAGGGATCAGCGGTCAGTTACAGACTGTCCTGTCATCAACCCATTATCAGCGTCTGTAGCACCAATACTATTTTCTCCTCTAGTCTAAGTTATTCAGAAGCACAGGTGTTATTAATAAGAAGCTATGGATGCATTCCGTGTTACGATTTGTGGTGTGGAGAAGGTTGGTGGACCCAAATGCAGGACGCATAACAGAGGAGGTACAGTTCAAAAGGGTTTATTAACAAACTAAAGGTGAGCACACTTACAATGAGTGGCTGAGTCCAAGTAATCCAAAACAAACACAGCCCAAGCAAACAAGGTAATCCAACTGAAAAACCAGAACCAGAAACTACAGAAACAACAGGGTACAGTAGTGATGGCAGTGCGACACTGAAGCTTTGTTACACACTTCAAACCCCTGGACTACAATCCTATTGAACCACTGCTTCAAAGTTTGCTTTGGTGCGAAAACAAAATCACGTGATGTGACATTCGAAGCAGCAACTTCTTCACTTACTGAATGAATCACCGACTGGTTTGCGGTCCAGTCACGTGATTCACTGGGCACTGCCTCGATCATCTCGAAAGCTTTGAGTGTTTGTGCACCCCATCTAACACATTCACCCCCTGTCATAGTTACACAAGCACATCCAACCTGCCATATTTCCCAGCACTCTCAATAACAAAATACATGCATTCATCAATGTTTATTTGAACGTGATGTTCAGTGTTAATGTGTGTGCATCAAAGAATTTTCAAAGTAAATATACTTTAAATCCAAGGGTGATTAAAGCAAAGATGCTTTATAACTAATAAAGTCTTTTCTACAAAAGTAAAGTAGTTTCTCCAGCACTGCTCATCAAGGGGCGTGCGTGTATGTATTTAAAAGCCTCCTGTCCACCAGCTAGCCTGTCTAATTTGTATGCAGCCTTGAACTTCGCCAGGAGAGGTCACTGTAACTGAAGCTTTGAGTAATGAACCCATTTCCGAAACAATTGGCTCAGGTGGTTCGATGCTTCACAAAAGCTTAATTTGCCCATCACTAGGGTACAGGCAGTGAATGACGAGCAATAACCACAACACGAGACAGAGCGTCTACACGTTACAATGACCGGACAGGAAATGAACAGAAACACCAAATATTTATACACAGGGATAAACGAGCAGGGCGGGAGCAAAACAGGTGACCGGGATCAGGGCTAACGAGGCAGAGAGACAGCGGGGGAAAACAGACAGCAATAGGGCCATAGGGAAACTAATAACCAAGAAGAAACAGAATATTATAAATAACTAACCCAGGACATAAGTAGACAGATAACAAATATACAAATAAACTACAACTAACGGGGAAAACAGACCGAACTACAATTAAACAGAACACAGAGCAAACATGGACAAAACAACACAGAAGTTTACAGACCAGAAGTAAACATGAATTAAAGCATAAGACTAAGAACTAAGACAAAGAACTAAAACACAGGACTAAGAACTAAGATAAAAGACAAGACATAAACAACTAAGGACATGGAACAAGAGAAACAGAGGCAAATAGAAAAACACATGAAACATGGCAAAAACAGATAAATGCAGGAAAAAAAAATACAATTCAAACATAACCCAAAACCAAACTTATAACATTCCGATTACATGAACAAGTTTCACGGTCGTCATATTGTGCATTTTGACTGACTGAATGGCTTTCTGGGACACTAAATGTAACAGCACCATTGTTATGTTTAGGGCTGTCCCCGACTAAGGATTTACATACACAGAATCGTCAAGTCCTGCCAACAGTCGACTGATAGTCGAATCATGTGTGTTTTCCAGCCAAACTGAGGCTTTTTGGAGAGCTCTCTCTCTCTCCTCTTGCGTGCATGCCGTGCGGCCGACAAGTAGATGCACGTCGCGGTTCCTCGTGGGTCTATTTCAAGTTGCCGGGTATTTTAAAAATTTAAAATATTCTTTGTGTGGTTCATCAATGGTGATAAATTATCCGAAGGTCCCCCGGACGCAACTCAGCACAACACCAGTGAAGATGGGGCTCAGTATCTTCAGCAAGTGTTCCTCTTCCGCCACCACACACGCTAGCCTACACATGCTCATTGACGATCCAGGGTTAGGGTTACAATTTAGGATATATTTACGCGCATTTAAAAACATTTATTGAAAGTTTTATTATTTTTAAATGTTTATTTACAGCATTAAACGTTGAAATGTATATTGTAATAGGCTGTATATTAACTTATTGTGAGAAAACTGGTAGTTCTATGTAAAATCAGATGTTGGGCACCCCCATATCGGCAAAATTGCATGATCCTTGTTTCGCTGCGAAGCTTCGACTGTGAGATTGACAGCCAATCTTCTGGGAAGGCTTTCTACAAGATTTTGTAGTGTGTATGTGGGAATTTTAGTTTGCTGTCATAACATGACGTATGCTGCACTTGTTCTCACACTGATATTCTGACCTGAGGACTAAAAGGCATGTATATTCACCAGTGCACACACACTTGATGCACACAAAGATTTTCAGACCACAGCCTTTAGCATCTCTATTTACACTTTATTTAGACATCTGGCCTCAGAGAGCTGGCTTATTCATTGATGACTCCTGGCTAAAAGCCACTCAACCATACACATGCACATTAAACAGTGGATTTCTGTTGCTTTATCTAATTCAAAGGCAGCATCTGACTAAATATAATTTGCTTTTTAATTAAAGGCATTTTGCAGAATTTCTTGTTCATTATTGTGGAAACACCTGCAGGGCAATCTACCTTTTTATGTTACCTAATGGATCCCAAATTTTTTAATTCATACAGGAATCTGCAGTCCATATCTTATCGAAAAAATACTCTTTTTTAACATTGAGTTGTGTGTGTCCTTGTTGATATCCTCCACTGTTTTGTTTTGTATGCTTCTTTTAAATTGCTATGAGGAAACATGCCTGTAGCAGCCAAAGTCTGTGCAATATTACCACTAGATGGCAATGGAAAACAGCCCACACTGTTCAAGCTAGACCCTGTGGTACCCAGATTCTAAAGATCACTGTAAAAGCGCCTCTTAGATCAATCCCCACCACCCTCTCCATATTGAAAAAAGAAGCACTTGCACTGGATTTAAAATTGTTATGCTAGGAGATTATCACTGCATCAGTAAAGCTGTGGCCTCTGTAGAAGGAAGACGACCTGCAGTAAAAAAAACTGCTCATCAGAGTTTTCTGTCTGCAGGCTTTCTGAAGAAAAATTTATATATTCCTGTTGTAGAAGATTTGAGAAAAAAGCATAAAAGGTGGGGTTTGAGTAACAAATTCATAATAAAAAGCATCATGAAATTGAGGAGAAAATAACCCAGCCCCCAAGTGTGTGCACTGTGCATGTCTGCATGTATGATCAGTGAAGACGAGATACAAGCCGTCTCACATATCGCAGTCTGCATTATTCATGCGCAACAAGTTCTTGTTTACTGACACACAGTCAACGAGAGGTTCAGGTCAAACCGATCGATAGTCTACATCGATGCCCACACGTCGCCTGTCTTTCTAAAATGCTGATCAGAATTTCTGTATCCGATTATTTTCCTCTCTCTCTTATGGTCTTATAATCATATTTGTGAATGTTATTGAATAGAAGGCTTGCAGTGTGGATTTTGACTTTACTGACATTTCTTAATTTTTACTGTCACATGTGGGTAGTTTTTTTTGTTTGTTTGTTTTGTTTTTTTAAGCTTTTTTTCTGTTGTCTTCTTAAGCGATGTATCATTAAAGATTGACAAAACTCCCTCTCTGTATCTGTCCCTTTCCCAGGATGCCCAAATTGAGAAGGAGAAGCAAGTCTGTAACATCACAGGAGGATGTACAGCTCTCACTGTGGTTTACCTGCTAGGGAAACTGTACGTTGGGAATGCAGGTGACAGCAGGTGTGTATGTAGTATATGTAATAAATATGTTTTAAGTGAAGCTCTTGCATGCACCCCCTCCTTGTTACATTCCCTGAGCCAAGAAGAATGAAAGGTTGCTTGTATATTACTTTTCCAATGTTCGGTGTGCGTCTGCAGGGCTATCATCATTAGAAACAATGAGATCATTCCCATGTCGACGGAGTTCACGCCAGAGTCCGAACGACAGCGACTCCAGTTCCTGGTAAGAAAATCTGCATAAGTCTTTTGTCTAGTCTTTAGTCAACCTGCAACCTGTGCAACTTGAATCTTGACAAATATATATGTAATAAGGTTAGTCACACAAAGACATGTAAGCCTAGCTGAAACTGCACACTCTGTACACACAGTCAGGTTTAGACAAAGATACATCAAAATTTATTTTAAAATCACTTAATTTAAGTTTTATTTAAAGTGCAAAATCACCAAAAGAAAAGTCCTAATACACTTTACAAAGTACACCGAAATAAAATACAAAGGAGCATGATAAAATCCAACGTAAATATAGGAAGCACATGATAAAACATAAGATAAAATACAATCCGAATAATATCAACCAAATAAAATAATAAAAACGATTTAATAACGTTTAAATTCGATTTCTCAGGGAGCCAGTGTAGAAAGGCTAGAACAGGAGAAATATGCTCTCTTTTCCTGGTTCTTGACAGAGCACAATGCTGCAGCATTCTGGATCAGCTGGAGAGGCTTAAGAGAGTTAATTGTGCTGCCTGCTTGTAGAGAATTGCAATAGTCATGCCAGGAAATAATAACTTTATTTATATAGCACTTATCAAACAAAAGTACAAAGTGCTTTGCAAAAGACATAGGGTGAATAAGGGCACATAACACCACTATAAAGATAAAATAAGTGAGGACAATGCAAGATACAAAATACAAATGAAAAAGAAATGGAAATCACAAGTAAGTAAAACAGATTGACTATAAACATAAGACTAATAAATGCGTGTTTTTCTGCAGCATTTTGGGACAAGATGTTCCTGATTTTAGCAATATTATGCAAGTCAAAGAAGGTAGTTCTTGAAGTTTGTTTAACGTGCAGGTTGAAGGACATGTCCTGATAACTCCCACTTCCTCATGGTGGTGCTGAAGGCCAGGGTGATGCCACCCAGAGTAACAATGCCATTAGATAATCTCAAAGCTGTTTGGGCCCAAGTAAAATAACTTCAATTTTGTCTGAGTTCAGCTTTAAAACATTACAGGTCATATAGGTTTTGACATCCTGAATGCACTGTTGAAGTTTGGTTAACTGATTGGAATCATCCAGTCTGATATAAATATAGCTGAGTATCATCAGCATAGCAGTGGACATTTATGGCGTGGTTCCTAATAATGTTACAGAGAGGAAGCATATATAAGGTAAAAAAGGATTGGTCCGAGCACTGAACTTTGCTGTACTCCATGATTAATGCTTGTTTGCATGGAAGACTCATTATTAGCTTGTACAAATTGAGAGTGATCGAATAAATAGGACTTAAACCAACTGAGGGCCGATCCTTTGATGCCAATAAAATTTTCCAGTCTCTGTAATAGTATGTAGTGGTCGATGGTATCAAAAGCAGCTCTCAGATCTGACAAGACAAGTACAGAGACAAGTCCTTTGTCTGATGCCATTTGTAACTTTCACGAGTGCCGTCTCTGTGCCATGATGTCCTTTAAACCTTGACTGGAAATCCGAATTTGAATAAACTACCAAATACTAATTAAATTTTAGAGCTTATTTTAAGTGTATCAATATAAACTACAAAATACAGCAGCCATGACATGTATCAAAATAAACTACTAAAATCACTGCCATGAAACCATTTTGCAAACCTTGTATCTATCGGCTTATTTGATCTATCCCTTCACCAGTGCACTGACTCTGTTGCTTAAGTGGACTGTGTTTGAGAACAACAGCTTTTCTCTGCTTAATTAGTCATGCGATAAATCTGACAAACAGTTAACAGATGAAATATTCACATATCCCTGTGATCACCAAGAAGAAGGTTAGTTTTAAAGTCACCAACAGTTTAATGTTTAGCTTACAGTTTCCTAATGACTCATAACTGAATCCTGATTTAGTTAGTTGGCGTTTGGTGAAGGGCCTACTAAGCAACATCTGAGCTAGAACAAACATGTGTGGTGGATTGGTTGACATCCTGCAGTTTAATTGCATTGCAGCACAACATTGTTAATGACAATAAGGTACAGGTGTGTGTGTATTAACAAGTTACACCATCTCATGGCATTACAATGTTGTACAACAACTCTGAAATGCATTTTATTTTGTGCACAACCGACATTATGTAAATTGGTAAATGTTTTAGCCTAGGCTACTAAAATGAACAGGACTTAACAGGAACTGTTGTGAATTTATTCCAAGAATCGATGGAAATATGACAACCTACACGTTTCTCTCCTCAACCTTTTTCTTCAGGTCTCGATAAATTTTTTGTTTTGATCCCAACACATCTGGGCAAGTTACTGAGTAGGCACCAGTAAGAGGCAGCATATATGATGTCATCACATAGAAGTATTTTACAGTATTTTTAAATGTGTATGTGTGTATATGTGTATATATGTATGTATGTATGTATGTGTATATATATATATATATATATATATATATATATATATATATATATATATATATAGTTGTCTACTCCGCAGTAACAGACGATTTAGCGAAAGAAGAAAGTAATACAGACCAAGAACCACACAGGCTTTTTTCATTGACCGACAACGAAGTTACTGAAAGTAACACGGGAGTACGAGAGACGGCGGCGGAAAACAGACTGGGAGTTGTCGCAAAGTAAATACAGCGACATGCACAGTAGGCTAGGCTAACTGTTAAGTGTTATTTACACAGTACTTATATTTTAATAAAAATACCAAAACTAAAACTCTGTAAATCATCGTGTTTTTGCTTTGCATGACTGATAAGACCGACTCACAAAGCCAAATGTGAGTGTGTGTCATCGTTTTATAAAGTCCTTTGTCCACCTGGTCTGTAGCGTTTTCAAACAAACATCTTCTGATTCACCGTTTTAATCTGGACGGGAGATGGAAACGTAGCAAAAGGTCTCCATTTTTGTAACGAAAACAGAGAGAGAGATGCAGTCAGCTGATTGAGTGGCACCGCTCTTTGCATTAGGAAACTCACACTGAAGGATCAGTCTCTCTCTGCCTGATGCGCTGTGTCTATTAAACTCCAGTTGCGGGTGGCATGTGAGTGAGATGAGCACAGCTGCGACAGTTTCACATGATGGCTCCTGCGTGTTGCTCCACTTGTCTGATTGCTGCTCAACTGTAATTGTAAATGAGCGTAGTGAAATCATTTTAGCTGCCGTTGAAAATTTGTCTGGCGAGTATTGCATCATCTGATCGGCTTTTCATATCGGCCTTTTTAGCGACCACCGATCAAACTAATTAAAGCCATTATCGGCCGATTATGATCGGTGACCGATCGATCGGAGCACCCTTAAAATATATAGATATAGATATAGATAGATATAGAGATATACTCTGCTCAAAAAAATAAAGGGAAGACTTAAACAACATGGTGTAACTCCAAGTCAGTCACACTCCTGTGAAATCAAACTGTCCACTTAGGAAGCAACACTGATTGACAATCAATTTCACATGCTGTGCAAATGGAATAGACAACAGGTTATAAATTATAGGCAATTAGCAAGACACCCCCAATAAAGGAGTGGTTCTGCAGGTGGTGACCATAGACCACTTCTCAGTTCCTATGTTTCCTGGCTGATGTTTTGGTCACTTTTGAATGCTGGCGGTGCTTTCACTCTAGTGGTAGCATGAGACGGAGTCTACAACCCACACAAGTGGCTCAGGTAGTGCAGCTCATCCAGGATGGCACATCAATGCGAGCTGTGGCAAGAAGGTTTGCTGTATCTGTCAGCGTAGTGTCCAGAGCATGGAGGCGCTACCAGGAGACAGGCCAGTACATCAGGAGATGTGGAGGAGGCCGGAGGAGGGCAACAACCCAGCAGCAGGACCGCTACCTCCGCCTTTGTGCAAGAAGGAGCAGGAGGAGCACTGCCAGAGCCCTGCAAAATGACCTCCAGCAGGCCACAAATTTGCATGTGTCTTCTTAAACAGTCAGAAACAGACTCCATGAGGGTGGTATGAGGGCCCGACGTCCACAGGTGGGGGTTGTGCTTACAGCCCAACACCGTACAGGACGTTTGGCATTTGCCAGAGAACACCAAGATTGGCAAATTCGCTGTGCTCTTCACAGATGAAAGCAGGTTCACACTGAGCACATGTGACAGACGTGACAGAGTCTGGAGACGCCGCGGAGAACGTTCTGCTGCCTGCAACATCCTCCAGCATGACCGGTTGGCGGTGGGTCAGTAATGGTGTGGGGTGGCATTTCTTTGGGGCGCCGCACAGCCCTCCATGTGCTCGCCAGAGGTAGCCTGACTGCCATTAGGTACCCAGATGAGATCCTCAGACCCCTTGTGAGACCATATGCTGGTGCGGTTGGCCCTGGGTTCCTCCTAATGCAAGACAATGCTAGACCTCATGTGGCTGGAGTGTGTCAGCAGTTCCTGCAAGAGGAAGGCATTGATGCTATGGACTGGCCTGCCCGTTCCCCAGACCTGAATCCAGTTGAGCACATCTGGGACATCATGTCTCGCTCCATCCACCAACGCCACGTTGCACCACAGACTGTCCAGGAGATGGCGGACACTTTAGTCCACGTCTGGGAGGAGATCTCTCAGGAGACCATCCGCACCTCATCAGGAGTATGCCCAGGCGCTGTAGGGAGGTCATACAGGCACGTGGAGGCCACGCTGAGCCTCATTTTGACTTGTTTTAAGGACATTACATCAAAGTTGGATCGGCCTGTAGTGTGGTTTTCCATTTTGATTTTGAGTGTGACTCCAAATCCAGACCTCCATAGGTTGATAAATTTGATTTCCATTGATAATTTTTGTGTGATTTGGTTGTCAGCACATTCAACTATGTAAAGAAAGGAGTATTTAATGAGATTATTTCATTCATTCAGATCTAGGGTGTGTTATTTTAGTGTTCCCTTTATCTTTATTTTTTTGAGCTGTGTGTGTGTGTGTGTGTGTGTGTGTGTGTGTGTGTGTGTGTGTATGTATGTATGTATGTATGTATGTGTATATATATATATATATATATATATATATATATATATATATACACACACACAAAATATGGAACCATTTTCATCAACCCTATTAAATACAAATAACAAATGTTTTTGTTTGTTTTGTATTTTAAATACATGTATCATAAATATTGTCCATCCCTGCACTGCACCTGAACTCTATTTTGTTTACCAGAGAAACGGGATTGGCCAGTTTCTCACTGTGTTCACACAACAAACAACACAATCAGCCAGGCATTTGAAGTACCATCAATTTCCTATAGAGCTGTGCAACAGCTCAAATAAGCTTATCAGCTGAGAATAGCCGGCTGTGATTGACCTTTTTATAGTCAGTGGCAGTAAGCAGTGACTCATATTTCTGCACTTTCATGTTTCCTTTTGATTTCATGAATAAATGTCTCAAAGATGTTTGGATAAACAGTTGGCTCTTTAGTCAGAAGACATGGAAAGCTTACTACCAAATGTGTCTTTCTGCATAGACATCCTGTGCAGATATATAGGTACAGAATCATATATTAAGAAAGCGTGAAGTGGAGCCTGACCGATACATTGGCATGACTGATTATCAACCCATTTTACCTTTTACCAATCACTGGTTTCTGCATACATGTCTGACAGTAAATAACAAGACATTGCAGCACAGAAATGTGGAGATATGTGTGAGGTAATAATTGAACAGTGTCTCCATTGCATAGTTTGTCCACTAGAGAGCAAGTTTATTTTTCAACTGTATAACATCTGGCTTAGTACAATCCTTAATGACATGTATTTGTGTTATGTAAAAGAAAGCAAGGAACCGGCCCTACTAGTTGCTTTTATTTGAAGTTTCCAACCTAGAACACTGAATGCACATACAGGACGAGCACTCACGCATTTATTAAATCCTTAATAACAAACACAGACATTTTAGGCTCTGTGTGGGTTTTTTATTTCATATACTATCAGCCTCAAAATTCCCAAATGAGTCAGGCTCATACAGAGTGAAGGGACACTGGGCCAAAACAACAAAGTGATGGAAAATAACTTTCATTTTATCTGCAAATCTGCCACACATTAAGCTGCTTGACTGACTTAAAGATCATTATTGTCTGTCCTCCAGGGTTTTATGCAGCCTCACCTGTTAGGAAATGAGTTCACGCACCTTGAATTTCCCCGGAGAGTTCAGAGGAAGGAGGTGGGCAAGAGGATGCTCTACAGAGATTTCACCATGAATGGATGGTGAGTCTTCCCCCATCTTTGTAATTTTCTTCTTTACACACACTTTCACTGAGCATCCTCAAAATGTGACCGGCCTCACCATGAATCATACCTGTCAAATCATGGTGTGAAATGAAAACAGCTGATGTTCTGGGTTTGCAAACTCCAGCCCTCTCCAGCTGCATCCACCTAAAACGTAACAATCTGATGAAGATTTCATTAGTCCGAATCTCTGCTTCTCTCCCTCCCTTACTGCTGCTTGCACTCTTCTATACGGTGAGAGCTGAAGAGACCAGCAGAGAACTAATGAGGGAGCAGCTGAACCTGATATGATATAATGATACAGCAGAGATGGTTCTGTATGTGCGGCATTATGTGGGTTAGCAAGGCACCATGCTGTTTGACTGTGGCTGCAGTGGAAGCCAGTAATGAGATGTGCTTTTACTGACACTCTCACTCTCACTCACTGACACACAGAGGCACACATAGCACTGTGTGTTGCAATGTGTGATTTATATTTCACCATAAGACCACCCCTCAGGCTCTCAGGAGCATAAATGTGCCAGCCAGGATGTGCCACTGCATGGACTACTGTTTCTCTTCCCATGCAAGCAAGATTGAAGTTCATTACAGGCACAGATACAATAAAAAAGTGTTTGCAATGATAACAAAACAGAACCTTTTAAGCTAGCACTAGAGAAAGAGCTATCAATCTGTCAATCCTTTCTGTGTCCAGGCCGGGTGAGGTTTCCTGTGCTGAGTCAAATTAAGATATATCTTTCTCTCTCTCTGTGAGAGAGAGGAACTGCAGAGTTGGAAAATAATTCTGTGTGTTTGTCACAACGAGCGACCCATTTTTATTTCCATTGTTAATGTAGACTTAGGCCTACTTATAGGAATATTGATTATAGCAGCTTTAAATGTGTTTTTCATTTAACAAAATAAACCAAAGTTCTCAAAGGTAAACCAACTTTGTGTTGAACCACCGAATCTTTTATCTCGGCTGTCCATCAGACTCTCTTAAACCTTTATTTAGGCTATGTTGACATGATACCCTGATGTATAGACCACTCTGCATGCGTGTGTATGTGTCAAATTTAAATCTCAGATTTCCTCAGCTTGTAGATTATCCTGGGGTTCAAACTAAGGCAGTTGGAGAATACTTTTGAGGTATTTGAGAAAACCTAGAGATGAATAATGATTTTGCTTTTGGTTGCAATGTTTTGTTTACTGCAAGCAGTTACTTCTAAAATACCCTTAAGCAAGGACGTATTCATGTGGAGCTCCTCAAGGGCCAAACTGCTGATCAGACTTTCTCATAGCCCAAGGTGATGTCTTCAAATTGCTTGATTTGTCCAGCCAACAGTCGAAAAGATGTTTAAATACTTAAAAGAGACGAGCAGTAATACCTCACAAGTGATTAAAAAGTGAATAGTGAATGTTTGGCGCTTGACCTCCCAAATAAAACAGTGGGAAGATGAATTAGTGTAGTGCGTTGTTGTCTCTCTATCAGAGGTGCGATGTTTAATGAGCAGGGAGGATAGGATGGCTGACGAATGAAGAGGTTGTGTCTCCACCTCTCCAGCACAAAGGCAAAGAGCCAGACAGAAAGTGTTTGGGTCGGGAAAAGTACACATCTCGGGTAAGAGACCAACAAATTGGCGGAGAGAGACACGGACTGACAGACGTGGCAAACCCTGTTCAGATATGAAGCCGTTTGAAGTTGATATTTTCCACTGACTGGTGATGCCAAGTCTAATCTGGCTAGTTTAAGTACGTCAGCGTCAGGCATGGAGTCTTTCAGTCTGACATCAAAGCTGTGTGTTTTCAGATCTTCTGCTTCCATTTGTGCACTTCTTAACTCATATTTTGCTGTTGCCTGCTCGCGTTCTCTCGCTAAATTTTTCAGTAGCTAAGGCACTTGTTATTGCACTCCAGAGAGACACTCTTGCAATGAGACACAGAATCAAAACCTACAAGAAGAATGGCAGTGGCTTTGTTTCCCACCTATATGTTCATGAACAAGGGTTAAGCAAGAACAAGAACAGATGGCATGGGGAGGTGGGGTAAGGAAATTAACATTTGTAACATTATATAACATTTGTTTAATGCAAAACTGACAAACACTAAACCTTAAAAAATAGACATGTAATATTAAAAGGATTTATCATGAGGAGTACTACTCAGCCTATGTAAATGTAAATTCTGAGAAATATAACCCTAATACTCATGGGCTTTGCAAACAAACATTTTTAACAGAAAACCTGCCTTACAAACTGCAGTGTGGAGATTGAAGGTTGTGGGCATTTTCAGGACAGGGAGTGCATTATGGGAAGTGTATGTTTGGAGTTTGTTCCATACTAGGCCCTAAAAGTCAGGATATCTCAGCCCCTACTGCAATAATTTTGACCTTTTTTATGTAATCCAACAAGTCCCCCACTTTTATGAATGTTCTTTTGTTCTTAATCACTGGAGTACACCATGTAAGAAAGCACATGGAAAAATATGTATTTATACATGTGTTTTTTTTGGCCTCTTGGGGGCAGTAGAACAAGCGGCAAACATAACGTTGACATATTATCACCTATAATCAATTTACAGTGGGTACGGAAAGTATTCAGACCCCTTTAAATTTTTCACTCTTTGTTTCATTGCAGCCATTTTCCAAAAATCAAAAAAGTTCATTTTATTTCTCAGTAATGTACACTCAGCACCCCATCTTGACAGAAATAAACAGAAATGTAGAAATTTTTGCAAATTTATTAAAAAAGAAAAACTGAAATATCACATGGTCATAAGTATTCAGACCCTTTGCTCAGTATTTAGTAGAAGCACCCTTTTGATCTAATACAGCCATGAGTCGTTTTGGGAAAGATGCAACAAGTTTTTCACATCTGGATTTGGGTATCCTCTGCCATTCCTCCTTGCAGATCCTCTCCAGTTCTGTCTGGTTGGATGGTAAACGTTGGTGGACAGCCATTTTCAGGTCTCTCCAGAGATGCTCAATTGGGTTTAAGTCAGGGCTCTGGCTGGGCCATTCAAGAACAGCCACGGAGTTGTTGTGAAGCCACTTCTTCGTTATTTTAGCGGTGTGCTTAGGGTCATTGTCTTGTTGGAAGGTAAACCTTCGGCCCAGTCTGAGGTCCAGAGCACTCTGGAAAAGGTTTTCGTCCAGGATATCCCTGTACTTGGCCACCTTCATCTTTCCCTCGATTGCAACCAGTCGTCCTGTCCCTGCAGCTGAAAAACACCCCCACAGCATGATGCTGCCACCACCATGCTTCACTGTTGAGACTGTATTGGACAGGTGATGAGCAGTGCCTGGTTTTCTCCACACATACCGCTTAGAATTAAGGCCAAAAAGTTCTATCTTGGTCTCATCAGTGTCTTGCACTGAGGAGAGGCTTCCGTCGGGCCACTCTGCCATAAAGCCCCGACTGGTGGATTGCTGCAGTGATGGTTGACTTACTACAACTTTCTCCCATCTCCCGACTGCATCTCTGGAGCTCAGCCACAGTGACCTTTGGGTTCTTCTTTACCTCTCTCACCAAGGCTCTTCTCCCCCGATAGCTCAGTTTGGCCGGACGGCCAGCTCTAGGAAGGGTTCTGGTCGTCCCAAACGTCTTCCATTTGAGGATTATGGAGGCCACTGTGCTCTTAGGAACCTTAAGTGCAGCAGAATTTTTTTGTAACCTTGGCCAGATCTGTGCCTTGCCACAATTCTGTCTCTGAGCTCTTCAGGCAGTTCCTTTGACCTCATGATTCTCATTTGCTCTGACATGCACTGTGAGCTGTAAGGTCTTATATAGACAGGTGTGTGGCTTTCCTAATCAAGTCCAATCAGTATAATCAAACACAGCTGGACTCAAATGAAGGTGTAGAACCATCTCAAGGATGATCAGAAGAAATAGACAGCACCTGAGTTAAATATGAGTGTCACGGCAAAGGGTCTGAATACTTATGACCATGTGATATTTCAGTTTTTCTTTTTTAATAAATTTGCAAAAATTTCTACATTTCTGTTTATTTCTGTCAAGATGGGGTGCTGAGTGTACATTACTGAGAAATAAAATGAACTTTTTTGATTTTTGGAAAATGGCTGCAATGAAACAAAGAGTGAAAAATTTAAAGGGGTCTGAATACTTTCCGTACCCACTGTAATGTTATCCGGTGTCTAGCAGACAACAAGTAACATTAGGTCCAGTATTCACACTCCTTTTAGATCTGCGTTGCTTTAGATCTGCTGTGGATCCAAAATGGCTCCCAGGGCCAATGTGACACAGGGAAAGCATTTAGGATAGTATAATAAAGAGATAACTCAAAGGTCTCCCTTTGCTCCTCTCACTACACTTATTTTAAGTGTATGCTTATTATTCGTGTGTGAATGTATGTGTCAGAGAGGGAGAGAAGAGATCCATTCACTGTCTGCTTTTCTTTTCTTTTTCCTCAAACACAGGGCATACAAGACCATTGAGGATGAAGATCTCAAATTTCCACTTATATATGGGGAAGGGAAAAAGGTAAGAGTGTGTGTCTACTCCAAGCCCTGTCTGCCTACTCTAGAATTCAGAACTGCAGAGAAATTCACTGGCTCTAACAATGTCAGTCTGACATACACACACACACACACACACACACTACATGCCTGCCAGCCACCCAGAGAGTGGGCGAACACTTGGTCTCTGATGTGCGAGTAACACACTGTGCGTGTGTGTGTATCAATGTACATCCTCGCTAGAAGAGACAGCAGACGGTCCATCTGTTTCACTCCAGTAGCTACATCTAACACACACACACGGACATTCAGACAGACACACACCACTCAGAAGATGACGGTCGTCTCTCTGAGAAGTGAAGTTTATCCCCACTGGGACAGCAGGGGAGAGATGAGAAGAAAAGCCCGAAACTGAAAAACACCAAATAAATTACACAAAATGCTTCAGATACACAGTCGTGTCACTTCACTTTCATATTTTCAATCAATTCAGTTTGATGCAAAGAGAGACACAACGAGGGCCTCTCATCAGGGAGGAAAGCAGCATCTGACGATCAGAACAGACAAAATGAAGAGTTTCCACACAGGGTTTAAAGAGTGGAAGAATGTTGAAAAAGAATTTGATAATTAAAGACATAGCAAAAAAAAGTCTCAGTGCACCTGCAACACTTCTCAGACCACAGCATACTGTATTGTGATGTTAGTTTAATGCACCACCGAATGCTATTTTCCAAAATGCAAAGCCATATTGCAACTGTACTGTGAGCAATTACCGGCTCCACCGTCCACTTATGTTGTAAATTCTGACTGGGTGGTAACAGGGTGAAACACTACTTACTGGCAATATGGGACCATGTTTACATCCATATGCCCATCATCAGCTAACTGACAAACACCAGATCATTTTTAAAACTGACAAAAAAAAAAGCTCTGTGAAAATAAAAATGTGTAAGAAACCTAAACAAAACCAGTCTACATTTTCAGGCACGGGTGTTGGCCACCATTGGTGTGACCCGCGGGCTCGGTGACCATGACCTCAAAGTTCATGACTCCAACATCTACATCAAACCGTTCCTTTCCTGTTGCCCTGAGGTAAGAGCCAGCACTTCTAAAAAAAACCAAAAGAGAGAAATGTATATTTTATAGTTTTGGGTTTCATTAATTCGGCTGAATACCGGTATCTGTTTACATAGATGGAGACCTTATTTCGAAACAGCCGATCAAATCTTTGCATTTAAAGCAGTAAAGTCAGCGTTAACAGCCACAGACTCTGAACAATCCACATTCGCTTTCCTTCTTCTTATCTAACTTAGAACACACATCTTGTCCTGCACCTTAACTAGTTGAATGAGTAACCAAGCAAACATTTGCCCAGGGAACGTGAACTGCTAACATCCGTTTGCAGGCTAGATTTCTCAGCTGCAGCACATTCAACATAATGTAAACATAAATGCAAATACCACTTGTGTCCAGTTAGGTGCTTGGATAGTCCTTACTTCAACACCACTGACAGCACGTCATCTACCCATGACATGTAGGCTACACCGCAAGTGTGTTTACTTTATCTCTCGCTCACTATCATTCATTCAAACTAACTATCATTTAAAGTTACTGTTAAAAAAAAATATCACATTTTGGGAAATTCTCTTTCTTGCCAAGAGTTGGATGAGAAGATCAACACCACCCTCATGTCTGTACAGCAAATATGTCACCAAAGTGGTTTGGTTAGCTTAACATAAAGACTTGAAACAGCTAGACTGACTTGCAGAGTTGACGTCATATTACACAGAAATTATTAAGTCACATATTATATATACATTTTTTGCTCACATGTAATTTGTAATATAGTATTAAGCTGTAACCATTAGTTACTGGTGTAGAGTGACCTAGATTAGTTATTTATTAGCAATAACCCTTATAACATGTCAGTAAAGCAACATTTGAATGGTTTTAGGGAACGAACAGGTGCAGCAACAAATCTGGAATATAATCACTAAGCCTTATACTGTTTCAGTACACTTGGTTAGCAACATCACAGGCATCATCAGGGGGAAGTACAAAAAAATGTGATTCCAGTCTCTGTAACTTAGGCTTAGAACATAGAACTTGTCCTTTCTCTGGTGCTTGTAGTCAAGAGCACACAAAGAAATACAGCAGATATCAGCTTACATCTGTGTTTGCCCTGTGTTTCATTTAGTCATGCTAGGCTTTCCAAACACGAGGAACAGTGGGATGACATGTCAGCATCTTGAACCTGTTAACCTTTCTTTTCTTTCCTCCATTCATTCTAGTTCTTCTTGCCACCCCCATTCCTTCCTTCCTTTTGTCTCATGAATTACGTCCTATATAAAAGGATAAGTCGGTCACATGGCTTATCCTGCTTCTACCCCTGTCATATCTGCACTACAGTCACTGGAGGTAGTGTTTTGCTGCATCTCCGTCTGAACAAGGTCCTCTGCTGCAGGAGAACTTGAGCTCACCTGTCTGACTGCCTGGCGCTGGTTTCAAAGCGCTTTCATCTTGTGATGAAGTTTTGTCTTAAAGAGTTTTGCATTTTTTCCTCCCACAGCTCTCTGCTTGATCTTTAATTCATTAATACCCGGGTTCATAGCAGGTTCACATGGAAGACTTGACTCGTCTCAGCACTCTATGTCTCTGTCTCTATCTTTCTCTCATAAACACAGATCTCACCCCTTGCCAGAGCCTCTCAAGAGGTTTCTCGAGATGCTCTCAGTGAATGAAAACTGCATTGAATTCATTAAGTAGTGAAAATGTACTGTGCTGTGTGGTGCTAGGTCAGTATTAAAGAAGTCTTAAAGAAGTCTTTATAATTTTTTGAGTTCATTGTTGCTGTCTCTGAGCTGTCCAGCCATTGGCATCTTCTTTAACTAAAATGTGTTTAGTTTCACTTATTTTTTCTTACATTGTGTAAAATGGGGAGACTATTAAAGCCATGCTTGTTGCACAAAAAACATGAAAATGACCAATTTGTCATTATGAGCATGTTAGCATGCTGGCATTAGCATTGAACTCAAGAACAGCCTCACAGAGCCACCAGCATGGCTGTAGACTTTTTTTTTCAGTAGTTAAAAAGAAAGGGAAGAGGGTAAAACAATCCTGACTTTACCTGGTGAATACAGGAGCAAAGTAATACATGGCAAGGAGGTAAATTAGTTGATAAATGTACAAAAGTAATTTTGTTGCAACTTCAGTTTGAAAATCTGAAGCAGCACAATATCAGTTGACAAGGAGTGTTTTTAATGAAACCCTTTATGTTTTGTGGTTTGCATGCAGGTTAAGGTATATAACCTGACGCAGTACGAGCATGGGGCTGATGATGTCCTGGTAATGGGAACCGACGGCCTCTGGGACGTCCTCTCCAACCAGGAAGTAGCCGAAGCCGTCACCACATTCCTAGCCAACTGTGACCCTGATGACTTGCACAGGTCTGCTGCTTTTTTTCCCTTTTTCTTTCTTAATTTCTTTCTTTCCATTGTCTTTCTTTCTGTTTTATTACAGGTTTGTTGCTTTAAATCTGTATACCTAAAGGCTGGTGCTTTGAGTTTCCCAGTAAATGTCAAGTTTTTGTGCCACTGTGCTACATATTTATATTTAATGGGCATTGGTTCCCTTTTAAGGATAAATTACACCCTTGGACATGTACCATTATTTTCCACAGTTTTTAATAAAACGATAAATGTGCAGTTTTTGGATCTTGCACGTGCATAAAAATAACTCACTTGAATTCACAATTAAGTGGCGGGGTCCTTCATACTGTGGATTGTAGGCTTTATTATTGTTTGCTGTTGTCCAGGTATACAATGGCAGCCCAAGACCTGGTGATGCGAGCACGTGGTGTGCTGAGGGACCGAGGATGGAGGATCACCAATGAGCGTCTGGGCTCCGGAGATGACATCTCAGCCTTCATCATACCGCTGATGTATGGCAACCGTCAGCCCTGAGGAGCCCGACAGAGATGCTGCAGTTCAAGGACCTGTTGGATCTTAAACCAACAGGATTGATTCATCATGAACTGAGAATCCCCTTCCAGTTTCCTCAGTGCCGTTTGCACATTTCTTTTCTTCTACAGATATACAAATATTTGGATATTTAGATTTCTTGGTGTTTCATATCTCTATAGGAGTTCAGACATGGTCAGTCACCAGATTTGGCTGCTCAGGGAAACTAGTTTATTTATTATATCTCAAAAGTCAGAAAAAAACATGTGTCATGAATCAAGCATGTCAACAAGGTATTTGGCTTGTTTAAAGTTGATAAAAATTATGGAGGTAAAATCTTGAAGGTTAGTGAGAGCAGCTCCATAGGATGATGGAGGTTGACTTCCCCTGAACTTCTGCAGAGATGTGAAAGCTGAACTAGGCGAATGCTCTTCCAAAGTGAAGAAAAGCGCTCTTTGTGTCCTTCTTACCTCTCTTGCAGTGCTCTACATGCTCCTCTTCCTTCTATTTTACTCCCCCTCTCTTCTCCTATACTGTACAGTCAACTTGTTTATAAAAAAAAAAACTCCTTTGTCTTGTGACCATGGACCGAGCTGACAGGTCAGCTGCGTTTTCTGTTTGGCCACAGTGTGGCCTTGAAGGATTCACTTGCTGATGAACTGCTTCTAGATTGCTTTTTTTGGGGTTGGTGGTGGGGCAAGGAGATGAAGTTAACCAAGGCAGATCAAGAATTAGTTTGACTGTGGAGTGAGAACATTTGAGCCTGTATCAACAGTGGGGACATAGCTTGATTTGGTTTAAACTAACGCATTATATCTCATTTGTTTAATCTGTACGAAAAAACATCGGCAAGTGGTGTTTTACGGGGTGGTTACATACACTGTAAAACCACAAAAAGAACCACTCCCATGTCTGTACGAGTAAAAATGAAGCTACAGACAGCAGCCGGTTAGTTTAGCTTATCATAAAGACTGGAAAAGGGTGAAACTCTGTCCAAAGGTAACAAAATCTGCCTACCAGCACCTAAAGCTCACTAATTAACATGTAATATGTCTGTTTAATATGTACAAAAACCAAAGTGTAAAACAACATGTTTTATACAACATGTTAATTACAGCAACTTCTAAGCTAACCTACTGTAAGCTAACCTACTGTAAGCTAACCTACTGTAAGCTAACCTACAGTAAGATAATCCTGGCAGTAAAGATTCTGGCTGTTGCTACCTATTTAATGTACAGAGAGTGGCATCAGTCGTCTTATCTAACTCTCGCCAAGAAAGTGATTAACCTTGTTTTCCAAAATGTCAACCAATTCCTTTAAGGAAATTTTTTACACAGGCTAAACTGTACACTGGGGGACTTGGCATTTGTGGAAATCGAAGTTTTTCAAGAAATCCCTGACACGCTTAGCTAAATGCCTGTTCTGAAAAATAACCCCATAAGACTAAACATTAAATTAGATGACTTGTGTACATCAGTTCTCGCACTTTAGGCTGACCCACATCATTAACCAAGGAGCTATATGATATATGAAATGATGATGATAATATTCCCTGCAACAGGGAGGATTCGACTGAATTCATAATTGTATTTTTTAAATCATGAAATACAATCAAAGACAAGGTGAACAAAACGTTTCACAGTGGAAAAAAACTGAAGGCTTTCTTTTGCGTTAACATGTTTAGCATGTTTTCATAAGCTTTAGATGCTTGAAAGGGGTCACATTTGTCTTCAGAGGGACAGGTTTAGGAGTAACAATGTTAGTAATTTACTGTGTGTCAATGCATGCAGTGACAAATTGTAGGCCTGGGAATATGAGCGACGGTGCAATGGTTACACTGCTGTTTGTTTTTATATTGACTGAATTTGTGTTTCTGTAATTGATTCCAAGAGTTAGTGATAATGTTATTTGTTTGTGGTGCATGGATCATGCAGATATTTAGAAGCTTGTTTTTCCTTTAGAGTTATTAGCCTTCCAGACATTTGGCGTAAGAGCTAAAGGTATGATTCATTGTGAAGGTAGGGAATGAAATTAAACAAAAATGTTAATAGCCAGACACAAAACCAAATCATGTGTTTTTTGCACTTTGTTCATCTAGGTGACTGGATTTCAGAAAGAAAAGTGACTATTTGCATCAAAGACAGCAAACTGATGCGCATGTGTATTTTTTCACCCCTTCCCAACATTATTATCAGGGTACACTACTTGGTCAGGTTAAGATGCAGGAGATGAGAAGTAGATTGGACGAAGGAGAAACTTAAACTTCAAAGGATCAATGAAAAACGTCCTTTTTTGAAAAGTTTGATTTCAAGCTGAGAAAAAAACAGTTGGTCGCATAAAATTAAAATAAACTGCATGTTGTTGACTGACAAAATAAGTAGTGATAGATAGCTTAGATTTCATGTTTTGTTTCTCTTATGGTTGGTATGTAGAGTTTGGAGTAGCACTGGTTTCCTTTAGGCTTGTCTGTAAAGTGAAAAGGTGTCTCCTTATTTTATAAAGCAGGGTGTCCAGGCGAATGACTGAATCCAAAAAAGTTCATTTGGAAATGGTGCCAGAATGGGGAAGCCATTGGTTTTGGGGAAATACCTTTTTATATACAGTCTATGGGAAATACACTCCCTCGCGTTTTGGTGGAGACTAACATGAGAAGAGTGATACCACTTTCATTTCAGTACAATAAATGTGAAGCTTCAGCTAGCAGGTAGCTTAGTTAAGCTAAGCTTTTGTTTGTTTGATATGTACAAAAACTGAAGTGTAAAAACGACAATGACTGTTTAATAGGAGCTGGAACTGGCACATAACACATCCCAACCCATCCCCTAGCTAGCTGTTTCCCTGTTTCAGGTCTATTCTAAGCTAAGCTTCTGGCAGTAGCTTCATATTGAACATACAGACATGAAAATGGGATGAATCTCACTCACTGCCAGAAAACGGAAAAGTGTATTTCCCAAAATGTCGATCTGACTTTAGATCACATGATATGTGCCATTGTGTTGCATGGGCTATTTATCATCTTAGCTTGGACTTTTTTGCAGTTGACAATTATGTATGTTCCTCCAAGCAGCAGTCATTTACATTTGCCTGAAGTTCATACGGTGCATTTTTCCTCCTGTACATTCCATGAAAGAAAAATTTCCTTTAAAAATTTTGTAGTACGTCATAATTATTTGCTGTTGCACCTCTTGAGTTGCATCTTGTTTTCCATCAAATGAGCTATTTGACAGTTACCAAGTTTTTTTTTTAAACTTCTCTATTTAATGTATTGAATGTCTGAATGTTCTTAATTATTATTTTACTTTGTTGAGTCAGAACTGTCCTGGCCCCACCTAAGCATTGTCTTAACATTTATCCAAGTTCAGCAGAGTGGTTTCAAACAACCTGACATCCAGCTCAGAGAGGTGAATGTTTTGAGCTGTAGACATGTTATGACAACGTCGGGGAATCAGACTAAAGTGTTGAATGTTCATCCTTATACCTGTCATCAAGCCTTTTTCTCTTAGATGAATGTCAAAGAATGAAAATATGATTTATTTTTTATCATCATACTGTGCCACCCAACTGCTGCACATCAACTCAGGTTCAATTATCATGTGTAGTTAAAGTGGACGAGCTGTTAAGAGTGATTTTCTAAAGGCAGGGAGTCCTCCAAAGGGGTTTATTAGTTCCACTGCAGTTGTAAATGCATGGGAGGGGATTTGTGTTGGGGAAGCTCTTAGACATGAAGGTTTACTTTGCCCATTCAGCCAATCTGTAGGTTTCCCTTTTTGAAGTTGCTATATTGTAAAAGTAGCCTCTGCTGTTGTTTTTTTGTACCTTACACTATAAGGTTAATTATGGGAACATAAGAAAAGCTAGCAGGTTTCTTCTGTAGCAAAGAGGTAGTTTGAAGCCCAGTGGGGAATCATTTTTAAGTGACCATTGTGGTACCCTCAACCTCTCCTTTTGTGAATGTGAAATGTACATTTTGTATTTTTAAAAAACTGATGAAGTCAAAAAGAAATATTTTTAATGTTTGTCCTTGTGCAACTCTGACTTTAGGGGGGAACGGGAGGAAATGTTTACCTTCAGTGTTTCTTTTCCAGAAATGTAAAAAAAAAAAGAAATAAATGTTAAAGATCAATGTAAAAAAAAAAAAGTAGTTTGTGTAATTAAAAAAAGGAAGAAGTGAATGTCAATTAAACTTAAGCTCAGTATGTAAGTGCCCAAAGAGTTCCCCAGATCTTTGTCCAAATCAGTTACCAGACCAAATCAATCTGAAGGAGTAAGAAACCAAAGAGAAGTGCAGAGGAGCTGATCAATATTGTTGCTTCTTCTGTTCCCAGGGTTCTCCTTGTGGGAAAGCAAAAACTAACAAACAGGGTTAACTGGCCTCCAAAAGTTAGACTTTGAGAGCAGAGGGATTCATTAGTGGAACTACAGAGTGCTCACAGAATCTCAAACATTTACAGGAAAACACACTAACAGAACTGTGGAGTTAGTTTTGTGTCCTTATGATCCAATCAAAAGAACAGGTCTGAGAGCACAACTATCCACACTTTTTAAATATTAAAATCTCATCCAAAAGATTTGCAACTATATCTATAAAACAGTTGTTATTATTCAGAGCAAAGAATTTGGTGCACTGAATACATTAATGACAATCATTTTCTCAGACACCAAATCGGCAGTGGGATTAGCAATTGCCAAAAATTATGACCAAACAAAATAATGCATATTTTTTACAGAATATTCCAGCCACTCTTTAATTTGAAACCAAGACATGCGCCTGTCACTTTATTGGACACATTTACAGTTTTTTGACACATGTTGTCACTTTCTGTTAACATGCATGACAAAGTGAAGGCTGGAGCTGTTGCATGATGGTGCCAAATGACCTGTTCTCTGGAGAGATAACTTTCAATCACTTAAGACCCTCCCGTCATTTTTCCAAACAGTTCCATTACCCTCAGGGGAAAAAAAACAAAAAAAAAAACATTTGCCCCTCCACCCTAATCATTTTTGTTCGATCCAAATACGAATTCCAGTGCATTGAATATTATTTGCATATTAGATTAATTAAAACAAGTTAAAACAAAAGTCCATGTGATACATGCCATTAAAATAACTTTATTTTAAAATATATGAGATAATTTAGCTTTTCATTTGTTAAATTTAAACATGTATGTCCCGGTTCACACCTATTTATTTACGCACAACAGTTTCACAGGAGACGTGATTATTTTGAAGGCATATTCGTCTCTATTCATTTATGCTGTTTACAAACAACGCAGTGGGCTCAGTCCTTCACGTCTGGTGTGGTTCCTCTGTCGCAAGTCACCAGCGCCGGCAAGGCAGTAGATTGCGCAGTCATCTCCACAAGGGGTAATATGACAACCCGACCAACAGCACAAACTACTACCTCAACCAGCGCCTGGCCCCCGGTGCTCTTTGGCTTTTCTTTTGTCCTCCTTTAAGATCTCTCCACCCCACTTCCAATGCGAATCTCCGTTCAGTCTGTCTAGCTGTGCGTAAAAGCGCACGGGAAAAATGGCGTGCGCGCAAAACGTGGCCGCAATAAAGCGAGACAAAAACCCCACCCAAGGAAAAGGAAAAAAATCCTTCTGCACCTTTCCCATATTTCCTGCACCCGCTGCTCTCCTCAGATGACCTCAGTGAAAATGACATATGGCAGGTGAGGACGGCGGGCGCTCCTTCGATTTCCTGAGTGCCATATATAGGCGACATTCATCAATATGTCAGACCATAAAAAAGGATTGTGTTATTAATGTTTTTTTTTTTTTTACATAATGAGATTAAAATTCAGTCCGCATAACATTAATGAGTCTTACGAAGACAACAATGTATGATCTGTACAATTAGGCTACCAGCAATGCTGTCTCCAGACATCAAAACATCAAATTACTCGTGTAAAACTCACCATAAAAAACACACTGTATAATGTATCAGTTTTAACTGACACGAAATGTTAAAATTCAAAAGTATTGCAGGGAAAAAAACACAGCTTCTTGTCTGCGTAATGAAACCACTGAGATTAGAAGTAGATTCTAAAAAGTCACGATAAACTCATAGCTGTATATTTATATAAATATTACCAGGGTTTTTGTTGGATCGGAGAAAATGCAAAAAAAAATCCACATCGACTCCTTCACCTTGAAGCTGAACTGCAGCAGACTGTTTTATAATCTATTGTTGTCTGTTTCTGTCTCTGCGTCGTGCGAGAAAGTTGTCCCGGTATCAAACCCACTCGATTCCAAACCCAAAACATGTGCACAAATCCATAGCGGAGCGATGCGCGATTTTTCTTTTCCCCTTTTCCTCCCCGCACATCCCGCATGTAAAGGTAGGTGTGGAAAATGAGTGCATTTGGCGGAGCGGCGTGGATAAAATTCGCGGGGAACGTCAGGACGGGTGTGGGCACGACCGGAGATTAGACGAAACACAGAGGCCACACTCTGACGGGTTTTCCAAACACCAGCACAAGAGGGGAAACTGTGCGCGTGCGCCATCAGATGGTTGCATCCAAAAAAGCACCTTCATTTCTCTACCGGGAGGTTTTAATGAAGTACAGCCAGAGTCACTAGCTGTCAGACACTTTGCAACAGTAGCATTAGACAAAATCTTTATGTGATGGAAATTATCATGATTAAAGCAGCAAATCATGAATACAGGTAAGCAAAACGTGTTCGGCCCTCCCTCTTTAAGGTCAGTAATTATAATAAGCTTATTGATGTCAAACAGGATTTCCACAACAGCTCTGATATTTTGGAACAACTGGCAATGATGATAAATGGCCATAGTTAAGTTAAAATCAGAATCAATCAGAATCAGAAATACTTTTTTGATCCCCGAAGGGAAATTCTGTGTTACAGTTGCACACATTGCACAAGGGCAAAGGAATATAATAAAGATAGTGGTATATAGAGAAGTATATAAATATTGAGTAAAAATATAAAATAAAATAATATAAGGAGTGTGGATCTGTACAATATTTACATAGTTAAAGGAATTGTTATGATACAGTATTTACATAATTAAGGAATTGTTATGGTGACAACAGTAATAAGGAATAAATAGTAGCAGCAGAGTATTGTACATTATAATTTAAGCAGGTGTTATTGCACAAAACAGATAATAATGTCCAGTTTAAAACTAACTAAGTGTCCGTGTGTCAGACACACAGAGGGAGGAGTTGAAGGAGGCAGGAATGATTTCCTGTGGCGCTCTGTGGTGTATTTGTCATATCTGTGGCACTGACCTCCTCATGATGTGGGAGGTCAGTGCCACAGGTCTGTAGTCCTTGGAGTTACTGGGACGTGGCGTCTTTGGCACAGGAACGAGGCAAGATGTCTTCCACAGCACAGGGACCCTTTGGAGACTCAGGCTCAGGTTGAAGACGTGGTGAAGGACTCCACATAGCTGGGGGGCACAGGCTTTGAGCACCCCGAGGCGGACACCATCAGGGCCTGCAGCCAAAAGGGCAATTTATACTTATGCGTCAAATCGACGGCGTAGCCGTCGCCTGACGTGCACCTCCTCAAAAATGTAACTACACCTCGAGTCGACGCGGACCGTAAGCTCTGTGATTGGTTGGCTGGGTAGCCTCCCTTATATACAGTCTATGGTAGCCACGCAATGCCTCCGAGCCGACCGGAAGTGCTCTGCGCTTTAACGTAACATTTACTGGCGGCCAAAGAGCTCACAGAGCTTACGGTCCGTGTCGACTCGACGTGTGGTTACATTTTGGAGGAGGTGCAAGTCAGGCGACCGCGTAGCCCCATAGCCTACGCTGTCGATTTGACGCAGAAGTATAAATTAGCCTTTAGAGTCTCCTCAGCTGTCTTCTCACCTGGTCAGCAGTGAGGCACACAGACGTTACAGGTGGGTGAGGGGGAGAGGAGGAGTCGTCAGGCTGGAGAGAGCTGTTAACCTGAGAGCCGGAGGAGGGAGGATCAGGGATCTCCAAGGAGGAGGGCAAGGGACGGTGAGGAGGAGGAGGAGGAGGAGGAGGGGGGGGGTGGAGTAGTGGGGTTGGAGGTGAGACAGCAGCTGAGTTAGTGGGGGGGTGGGCAGTAGCCATGGCATCAAATCTGTTAAAGAACAGATTAAGTTCGTTGGCCCTGTCCAAGCTGCCTTCAACTCCTCTGCTGCCAGTCGGTCTGAAGCCAGTGATGTTCCTCATGCTGCTCCAGACCTCCCTCATGTTGTTCTGCTGGAGTTTAAGCTCCAGCTTCCTCCTGTTCTTAACCTCCCTGATCTTCACCTTCCCTCAGGTCCCCCTGTGGCTTACAGAGTGCATCCCAATATGTCACCTCAAAACATTCCTCATAGGCCTCCTCTGACTATCTCCTCACTGTCCTTGTGGTCGCAGGCTGCCTTTTCACCAGAGGCACATAGCAGGGATTGATATGAACCAGGTTGTAGTCGGACCTGCCCAGGGGGAGGAGGGGGTAAGAGCTATATGCATCCTTAACGTTAGCATACAGCAGGTCCAGGGTCCTCTCCTCTCATGGTGCATATGTTTGAAGTCACTGCGCAACAGTGCGTGAGTTACCAAAACTCTCTCAACTAGCATGATTTGAGAGAGTGTAGTTTAAATGACTTATAGTCCAAGAATCCCAACAGCCTCAGGACAGCAATACCAACTCAAGCAGACCAAACCAAATTATTAGCAAGCAGAAAGAAAAATATATCGAATACTGGAAAGAAACGACCAAAACACAAAGTAAATTACAATGTTATCTGACCCTAAAAAGAGAATTCACACCGGCAAATTACCTGAGTACAATAAAATGTCCCAAACTAAGAAAAATGTTGACAACATACAGACTGAGTGAACACAGCCTGGCCATAGAAAAGGGTCGCCACAGACAGAGCTGGCTACCACAAGAGGAGAGACTCTGCTCCCACTGTGACAGAGGACAGGTAGATACAGAGCTGCACTTTCTAACCTCATTTCCCAAATATACCCCGAATTCATATCAGACACACAGAAACTTCCCTATTTACTGGGAGAAATGCCCAAATGTGAAATAATTGCTGCAAAATATGTCTCCTCATGCCATGAAGTGAGGACAACCAGTGGAACCTCAGACTAACAAATAATTGTACAGATTTTCAAATTATTATTATTTTGATCGTTTGATATTTTAGTAATTGTTTTGTTTTTACATTTGACACAGATTTTTTTTTTATTTAATCAATTAATTATTTTTTTAAATTTCTTTTGTCTATTAATATATATACACACACACGTTACTGTTTCATTTATTTATTTTATTTTTTTATATTTTTATTTTTTAACACACACACACACGCTTACTGTTTTATTTATTTTATTTTTAATATATATATTTCTTAAACACACACACACACACTTACTGTTTTATTTATGTATTTTAATTTTTAATATTTCTCTTTTTTAACACAAACACACATATGCTTTGATTACTTTACGCTTTAATTACTTGTTTAATGAAATGTATGGGGTTGATTGTTCTTATGTTGTATGTATGATGCTTTGGCAATATTGTTGTTACACATTCATGCCAATAAAGCTAATTTGAATTGAACTGAATCACACACGTGAGAAATAAAAAAAGTTAGTAATAACAGGGCGAACGACAAAGCAACTGCAACAGGCTGCATACACGCATAAACGGATTAATAATAATTAGAAAACAAACTATTGAAAATTAATCTCAAGCCTTAGTGTCTATAGACTCATGTCAATAATGTTCAGATAGGTTAAATATATGACATTTAAAAGTATTTCTGTTTTAATGGTATTGTCACGGTCACTGAGTGACAGGGATTGGTTTCCGTTTTCTCCAAAGGAGTGATCTACTGCTCTGCACACAGTCGGCCTCTTCTTCTACTTCTTCCTATTGGCCAGAAGGATGAGCCGCTGCTCGGGGAGAACCTCCCAGCCGTAAGCGGGCAGAGAACCTGGTCAGAACCCGGAGAGAACACCATGTTCCTCCTCACAAATCTGCCTGCAGCTGCTGCACACACTGGTGAGTAAAGAGAGTAGAAAATAAAATGGAAGGCAAACTGTGAGCCTCATTGAAATCCCTACAAAAAACAACAACCCAGACATGATTCAGAGGGCTGAAAGCAGCTTCATGTTCATTCTCTACAGGGGAACTGAAACGTAAACAATTCTTACTGCGGTGATCAAGATCTGTACGTGCTATTGATAAAGGTGAATAAAGGAATTGCTGAACTGCACACCAGGTTAAGTTTTTACTGCATCATTACTTTAACATTAGAAAAGACTGATTTTTCAGCCCAGACCTGATAAAAAAAAACTGGGACTATTTTAGCATTTCCCTTTAATTTTCATGATGATTAGGATAAGCCTTTTTTATGTCACCATTCAAAGACTGTACATTTGCTTATATGTGACAAATACTCAGTATAACACATAAGAGACAGAGATGGGAGTCTGCCAAGAAAATGACAGCACACACAACAGATAGAGGCACTGCAGTGCACAGTGAAGAAAGCCAGAGCAGGACCCACAGGAAGCTTTACACAACTTTATTGAAGATTGTGTATAAATACACATGCACATTTCAAATGTAAACCCAAGTGAACTCAAGTGCAGCCAAACCTGGAAACCCCCGTTATGTTGTCATGCAAGGATGTTATTTTTTACAAAAAAAGTCCCAAAACAACATAACCATTCTTCTTTAAAAATATTCCCTCCCTGACAAGAGCACAGGCAAGACTTTGCAAACTAGTGTGTATGTGAGGACTCGAGACACACCGAACCCTGCCCTCCCCCCCATTCCCCTCGCCAACATTTCAGACCTTGCCAAGGTTTTAAATATATTGTCTGTTTATTATTAAATGCTTACATATAAATAAATAAACTTTATCAAATGTGCACTCACAGAGTGAACTCTTATGTACAGTATTGTATAAGCCTATAGTAGCAATCACATCTCACTCAGTCAGGATGGGGTGAGTCGCCCAAAAAGCAAGGCAGCGCTGAGGCAATAAAGCCCACTGAAGTCAAAGCACAGAGATGCTCATAAAGGCATGGTACACATCTAATATTCTGAGGCGACAACAGGTACGCTAATGCTGTTTACAATGGAAAGAACAGGTATAGAAAAAGAAAACACTCCACCATGGAGAATAGTTTTTATCATGAGTTACATCGATGGAGGAATATCCTGCAACAATCTGCCACAAAATATTTTCACTGTATCATGATCCCAAAAGCTGAAAGGCCTTTTAGGCAGACTCACCCCATAATTTTTAGTCCCCCACCACCACCAAAAAAACCCCCTCCAAACTCAGGACCACAAAGACGTATTTAATTTTTCCCCTTCTGGAAAGGGGTGCATTCAGCAGTACTCATGAATTCATATAGCTAATAACCCACATTCAATCAAACCAAGAAAGGGAGCCATGGAGAAAAAAAAAAAGGAAGGGAGAACAAATCTTGCCCTATAAAGAATCAAAAAGGCATCAACCACATACATCTGGGTCAGTGTTCATTTCATTCAGCATACATTCTGGCCCTTATGTGGCTTTAAAAAAAAATTGAGATGACGTGGCTCCGATATAACAAGCAGGCAAATATGGACATTCGTAGACGTTAGTGTCTGAAGGGGCCGCACAAGAAAGACAGTGCGATAGTGATGTGCAAAGAAAAGGCGACTGGTCTGAGATTAAGAGTTAAGGCCGAGGTGATCCAAACAAGAGATGACCCATCTGATGTCAGTGAAATCACCGATGTTTCTAATCTCACAGTGCCTCGAATATGAAGAGGAGGAAAAGGAGGAGGAGGAGCGCAGAGCCTCAGTAAAGCTTTAAACACCACCTATGAACAACTTAAAGAGGGAGAGGTAAAGAGGAGATCTGTGGTGTAGGATCTACAAGTCTGCCAGCTACCTTTTAAAGAGATGCGTCTGTTGCAACCCCTGCACACTATGGTGAGTTGATTTAAGACAGAGTGCTTATATATTTGAACACTAGGAACTTCTGAAACACCATTTACCAATTCATTTTTTGCAGATATAATATGCAAAGTTAGAATCCATTTGGTTATTTTGCTAAGTTAGCTGGAGAACTTCTCAATCCTTCTGTTTAAACATTTTAGGTTTAAAGAAATAGAAGTTATCAACAGAGGAGACCAGAGACAGCAAAAAGCAGGACCTTAAATTGCTAAGGTTCATGCTAATACACAAATAATCGGTCTAAAAATGCAAGATTTGCAGCACTAGCAGCAGCAGCGGTAAAAAGCTAGGACAGTTTGGCTGTTCGACACTTTATAAAACCACATAACTATGAGCATCACTTCTCTACGTTGAGTGTAGGCAAGTCTCACCACTGGCTTGCTAAAGGCAGCTTCCTAAGCTTTTATTGTGAGAAAAACCCTCTGAGAGACAAAGTCGCTGTTAAACACTTGCAGTATGTCTGGCAATAGTATATTTTTAAAAAAAGTGGATGGTTGGTGATTGTGCAAGTTCAAAATGTTTCAGCGCATCATGAAAACCCGATATAATTCAGTGTTTAAAATATTTACACGGTCTAAATGATAATATGCCAACAATGCATTGCTCTCAAAATATATAAAACAACAACAACAAAAGGAACACAAAAAGCAGAGGGCGATTCAGAGTGCTGCACTGGAGTACTGTGAAGCCTTGAAATCGTTCCCCAATGTCGTTCCGTGAGTCTTTCACAGAGCAGGTGAGTAAATCCTAAACGAATGGACATGGCGACACACACACACACACACACACACACACACAGTGCTCCAAACACAGGGGAGGGCCCTGATTTCTTAGAGTTGCGTACCGCGGCAGCTCCCTGACCTTACAGCCGCCGTCCCCGCAGTGGCTCCGCCTGTCGAGTGGCCGAGTCCGAGCCGCTGGGTGGGGACCGGTGGCGCCCGCTGCCATGCTGTGTGTCCATATGGCTTTGGATGGAAAGATCCTAGTCTCTCTCTCTCTCTCTCTCCATTTACTCTTGTCCTCGTTTGCCTCAGTTGGTTTTCATGGTGACGTCTCGATTGGGCGCCCGCTCCTCCTCACCTTCCTCTTCGTGTTTCTGCTCGTTGTCGTTCTTCCTGCGCCGGTTCTCGTTCAGGTCCTCCTCGTCACTCAGAGCAGCGGCGGACACAGAGGCAGAGGCGCTGGCGGCGGACAAGGCGCCCTGAGCAGATGCAGCAGCCTTCCTCTCCTGCATCTCCTCGCCGTCGTTTTCCTCCTCCTCCTCTTCTTCTCCTTCTTCTTCCTCCTCCTCCTCCTCCTCCTCTTCTTCCTCGCGGTCGAGAGCGAAGTAGCCGGTGCCTTTCACCGTGTCCTGGCGCTGGTAGAACAGCACATAGCCTGCTTTGGACTGAGAGCAAGACAATATAGAAGAAAGTTACTCAGCTACACAAATAACTCACTGCTCACAACTCCTTTACATGTAATCCTTTGATAATGAGGCAACAGGATGCTGTCAAATCTGATATTTTTTCCCAAAGTCAAAGCCTTTGTCAGTCAGTATAATCACCAGGGCTTGACATTAACACCCACCAACCCGCCAAATGCTGGTGGATTTCAGCCTTGGCGAGTAAACACAGTCACTCTCACTAGCCACTTTGGCGTGTCGAAAAATTGTAGTCTTTCAAAAGGCATCTGAAATAACAAATGAATTTCAATTTGACACTACAACTCCCATGAGTACTATCTGCACATAGTCTTGACCGACAACACTGTAAACAAGAAGATCCTGTGGAGATTAAACTAGCGGACTGGCCATCGGACCCAGGGCTAACCTGCCGTTAATTATCAACTTAACCAGCGGCAGCGATGATATAGCGTTATTTTTTAATAGCAGGAGAATTCAGACCACAGGTCGGTTTCACTCTCTCCTGCCGCCGCGCGATGGTGCACACACCGAATATGACATCCAGACTTTTGTCAAACAAGAATAAAAGTTGAATCTGTCACAGGGCCGCCACAGCCCATCAGACCGTCAAGCCTCCCATCTTGTCTTAACCCGATGGTGCGACTGGTCGCATGCACACACATCAACTCAGCGTTCTGTCAGTGCGTGAGTGTGCGCGGCTGACCAGTGTGGAGATGAAATGCACAGGAGAATGAGAGAAAGAGAAAAGGCAGGAGGAAAGTGCCTTTAAATGCTGTAAAATTACAGATAACTTCATGATTAAGGGATTTTGTGGTGTTTAAAAAAGAAAAAACAGAATACTAGCAGGGCTGCCCTTATGTCACATCATATCATCATATCAGAACTACCTTTCCAGAGTTAATTCTTTTTTAATAAAAGTAATCATGCCATGTAGGAAAGCAGGAGATGCATTTGTATGGGAATAATCTGAAAAAAGTATTCTTTGCTTTGTTTCTAATGCAGATACTTTTTTCTACTATGTACTACAGTATTTAATGCTGTTAAAAAATGCAGCATTTTTAGTATATCCAATAAGAAGCTACACTAGCCACATTGGCTAGCCCTGATCATCACAAATAGTGCACCATGTTTTTTCAAATCTGCAGGTGTCTGTTATCTACAAGTGCATGTCATTAAAAGTAATTTATTCATTTCATTTATTTTATTTTGTGTGTGGCTACTGGAATCACGAGTGTGGGCTCTGAGTAGTTTGAATGTGCCAATTACTGTGAATCAAGAACTGTCCAAAAACATAAACAGCAACAGAAAACCCCAGAAAAGAGCATTATAGTATTTAATACCAATTTGATAAGACAACATGAGAGTCACATTTTTTCAATTGTTTTTCCATCTTTGATTAAATGAACCTTTCTAGTTCGCGTCCAGCAAAATTGCCTATGATGAATACACAGTAGGACTGTTGCCTGGCTTTCGCAAATAAGCAAACTCACCACTATTTGATCTTCGTTGGCAGGAGACACGCTGCTGTCATCAAAGTTGTACCACTTCCCGTCGTCTTTGTTCTTGGCGTAAGCAGTATCTGAGCGGGGCGAGGTTAAAAGACAGGAATATAGTATTATACAGGTGTCCCACTCTGTACTCACGCTGTTTGTATTATAAAACACTTTGAGAAGGACTGCTTCATTTCATGTTCTTAGAGCTCCTGCATTTTTCAATTCCATAATTCAATTCAGTATGATCACTATTTCTTGATACATTTGACAAGCAGATTTCCTCCACTGTTTAGTCTTGCTTCTTTCCGTTAAGAATTATAGCCAAGGTAAAGGCCTTTTTCCCTCCTAAAAATTTAGAGAGGGTGATTAATGCCTTCATAACTTCCTGACTTGACTATTCTAACTCTTTGTATGTTGGCTTAGTCCAGTCATCCATTTAAAGCCTGCAGCTAGTCCAAAATTCTGCTGCCTGGCTCCTGACAGGAAAGTAGAAGAGGGACCACATCACACCTGTGTTGCGCTTCCTCCACTGGCTTTCTGTTCATTACAGGATTGATTTTAAAATCTCAATGTTAACTTTTAAATCCCTTCATGGATTGGCGCTGCCTTATCTTGGCTTTTCTGTCCAGTTAAGAAGGTTATTATCCCAGGAGCTGTTATTATCATTAAATATAATTTATTCCAAAATATAGTGTGTACTTTATTTGTTGTACTTCCACCTTCAGGTGCACCTTGGTCAACTTGTTTTAAATGTGCTATATATATAAAATTTACACTGACATTGACGTTTTATGGACATCAGTATTATGTGCAAATAAGAAAGTCTCTAGATTACAGATGTGTGCAGTTACGGAGAGTAGTAAATTAACATAATATGTCTCCACTCCTGTTCCTGTCCCTGACAACTTTTGTTGGAGACTAAATGTGAAAGGCATATTCAGAACACTGTACAATAACACAAGCATCTGGTTGGTTACAGTAATAACAGGATGACAATGCAAAATGCAGCAAACCCCTGCTGTAATGCCTGTGGTGAGCTTCAGACTGAAACAAAGCTCTGTGTGATAAGGACCTACAAACACTGGTCACAGCTGACGTCAACATCAAGCTTGTGAGCCAGCTGCAATCACTGAGTGTCAGGCATATGATAAATACTATATTTGCACAGCATGATTCCTTATTATTCTGCAAACTGTTGGCGCATAAAGGAATGCATTGCTAGAAAAAAAGGGGAAGGTTAATATGTTATTCAGCAAACTCCCAACAAAGCAAATCAACAGCACTTTCACAGACCTGTAATTGTGTCCTGATTTGCGGTTTACATTTAATAACAGACAAAAATTCAAAAGGGTATTGTGCCAACGTGGCATAGAGGGCAGCAGTAAAATAATACAAAGGAGGCTTTTTAAACTGCAGTGACATGTGTGGTGAATCTTACAGTGGCCGCCACCCATCCCGCCATAGTGGTTGGACACAGCAATGAGGTCGTACCGACAGGGCCCGGCATTGGGATTGATCAGGAACTCAGACATGTCCAGATCTCTGCAGGAAACACATTGTACATACATACTGTATGTTTCAAACATTGCATAAGATCCAAATCCAAACAATGACAAAATATACACTCTGGAAGCAGATTTGCAGGTATGGCAAAATACAAACAATGGATAAATGGCTGGTGTCATGCTGCAGTGGCTTATTGCGTGTGTGTGTGTACCTGAGTGGGAAATCAACAAGGGAGTCCAGTTTGTCCCTCATATAACGACTGTAGGAGAAGCGCTTCAGATGGACCACCAGGACCGGCGGCAGAGACCAAAGATCCAGCTTCTTAGTGGCCTGCTGGTGCTGCTTACAGTTTGGACAGTACCTGCAAGACCAAACGTGCATTTCATGTTAGTAAATTCAGTTGATCCCATGTGTGTGCGGCATTCGGTAGACAGCTGGTCTAACTTGTTTGTTTTCTCTCACCATGGGTCCTCGGCTCCCAGTTTTTCCTTTGTGGTAAACAGTTCGATGCAGTCCTTCAGCTTGAAGAAAGCTTTCTTCTGAGGCTTGTACTCCATGCTCTCATGCTTGTCACAGTCCTTCTCTCAGTCACACACACACACACACACACACACACACACACCTGTTAGAAAACACTTCTCACAGCACTATGTGTCTCACTGGACATGGATTACGTCCCTGTCCCAAAATAGAATGTGAATAGAGTGTACTTTACTTTGAAGTGGCCTTATGTGTTTTGTGTACTCAAAATACTTTTCCACAAGTTAAAATACAGACTATTAAATTGTCATATGGCCATTTTAATTTTAAAGGCCATACAAATTCATTCATTCAAATTAAAACCCATTTTTACAGGACAGGCTTGGTGCATGGAAATATATTTATATATACATTTTCATTTTAGCCACAGACAGAAGTGCAGGGAGCAAGGTGGAGGTTTAATACCCTTTTTATAAAAGGATGCGGTGCCTTGCTGCAGGCGGCAACTCTCTGACCTCGATTACAAGACTGCTGCTCCTATCTGAGTCACATCGCCATATTTTACCCTGGACAGTTACGCTAAACGCTTATGCTAAAAAGTGAACCAGCTGTATCAGAGAACAGCTTCGGTCTGTGATAGTGGCTTTACCTCGACGACGGTCTCATCAAAGTACTTCTTCTTGATGTCTGGTTCCCAGTCCAAGGAGAGATAAGAGCGGTCTATAAACACAGTGTAGATACACAAATTAATTTTACTCACCACTCATCAATTTATCCATGTATCTGGAGAGTTATATATTCTGGTACAAAATTATTCATTTACTTTTCCGTACTGTGATTAAATTATATTATTAACGGATTCATTAATACACAAAATAAAATTTTAAACTGTGAATACATAGTTCCTATAACACTAGAATAATACATGACAATTTAAATTATTGTATACTAGATGAGGAGTCTGAAGGTATTTTGCTTTGAGGACATTATGTGAGGATTTATTTTCCTCCTAAAGTGGATTCTTCATTTATTTCCCGCTCCACCCTGGGTCCTACCACTGAGTCGGAGGTGTCCCTCGTCAAAGCGGATCTGCCTGGTGTCGTCTTTAATGAGGGAGAAGTCCGTTTTTCCCATGTTATTGAACTGGAATGTAAAAAGTCTCTTTCTGTTGTGCCCGGACGTCTGCTGGCCTTTGGTGGAGTTCTGTGGACCAACCACACCGTTCTCTAGTTCGTTGTCCCCGCCGACAGAGTCCTCTGACTGGCTGTTGTCGTTCTCGGACGGTAGCTCCTGATCCTGACTGGACTCGTCGTCCTGCTCGTCGGTCTCCATCTCGCCTGAAGGCAAAGAGAAAGGATTTTAAAGCACATTGGTTGCTTTTAAATTATAGTGACTTTAAATAACAACTGCTATGTTGAACAAATAAAATAAGATATTTCAAAAGTGTTTAATTGTAACATGTCTGTCTGTGCACTCACTAGGCGACCCCTCCTCCAGCAGTCCATTAGTGGCGTTACCATTGACAGTGTGTTGTTTGGATGGCTGCGTCTCTTCAAAATCCTCTTCCTCCTCCTCTACTGAAGATTGCACAAACCGGCTGAAAGCACAAAATCATTTTTATTTTCAGCAACTGAGTTGGGTTTTACTTTTTTTAACAAGCTAAATTCCTTTTTCTATAGTTCTTCTACCAGAGGCGCAGGAGCAGCATGTTGTAGAGTTTGTCTTCACTGAGGGTTCTGGGGACGGCGATGAGGAAGGGCTGTCCGAACAGAGGTGTGCTAGTGTGGTTGTATCCCGACTGTTTGTACTTCTCCCTCAGGTGCACTGGGATCACTACGTGGTCCGTATCCTCCACCCTGTTCACCGCCAACTCAAACCTGCAGAGAGAAGTGTGCGGTCACTTTTAAAGTCAGCCTGGATATGTTAAGTGTTAGCAGCAAGAGTGAAAAGTAAAATCCTAATCCCTACATATTTACGCCCTTGGCAAATACAGCAATTAGGGCTGACCCAGAAGAGTCGAAGAGTCGAAGATTCGATGCTTCGATGGGCGGAGTCTGATTCAACTGTCAATCTCACAGTTGAAGGATCATGCCATTTTGGCGATATGGGGGTGCTTAACGTCCGATTTTACATAGAACTCTTTGCAATTTAAACTGGTAGACAAAGTTACAAATACAAACCAATAATTTATCAATGAAGTCTTCAAACTAATCAGAAATTAAGCTGTTTGACAAGACAGGCTGAATGCAAATCCCGTTTCAAACTTCAGATTATACAGCAGGCAAAGCGCCACACTCACACGTAGATATCGTCTCTCTCCATGATGCTGCTGAGGTTCTCGTTAGTGGCGAAGATCCGGTGGAAACGGTGGTTGTAGATGTCAGTTACAATCATCTTGGGGGTAAAAGAAAAGCGAAGAGAAAAGTCAGATGTGTCTTGGAAATGCAGGGTGGTTAAACAAATATATACCAGTGTACTAAATTCCTAAGAATTTATGGTATAGCAGAGTTTTGGTCAGTATAATTCAGTATACAGGAGAAAAACGTTTTTGAACTCAATTAATTGATCTTGGTTGGGTGGACTGTTGTTTCATTTGCACCTTCTATATTAATTACCCTCTCTTATTTTCCATTTTTATCCAGCTACTTATCCTTCCCTTGATATAAAAGGAAAAAGAAGTTTTCCCCCACTAGCTGCTGAAGCTGGGTGGGCAGGAACAGTTTGCGGTGTGAGGAGATGTCAGCATTACAGCGTGATTGCTAATAAGAGAGCAGGGTTAGCGCCCAGAGCAGAACTGTGAACTGCATTGTTTATACCTTCTCAGCAGGCACACCAGACAGGTTGGAGAGGGAGGTACACAGGTCAGAGATGTAGCCCACCTTCGGCACGGTCAGCTTGTACTGAAACGGAAACATGTCGCCGTCAACTACACCTTTCACGTGAAATCATAACGACGGGGTACTACACTTCAGGTGCCTTCCCAGCCATCCCATGTTACCTGTGTGGGTTTAGCCAGAGGGTCCAGTCTGACAAGATAGACCTCCAGTGTTCGCTCCTTCTTCATGGGCAGGGGCAGGGTCAAGTAGCAGAAAGGATCAAAGGTCACAGAGATCTTGGCACACACAGGACACACCAGGGTGGACTTGAAAAGGCCGTGGAAGATGTCCACAATGATGGAGTCGTTTCTCTTGATGTGGTTCTCCCACGCCTCCTCCGCCACCACCTGAGATAAAGAGTAACGCACAAGCTAGCTATTCCAACAGACTGCAAAATCAAAGCAATTGAAAAAGAAATCTAAGTAAAACAAAACATTTGAAAATGAATGAATGAAAAGTGAGACAACACCTACTGAGAAGAGCATGGTCTAGCAAAACAGTCTATTTATAAATAGGTATACATGACTCATGAAATGTGGGGACTGAGCAACCCTTTTCTTTCATCATTTTTAACATGTTGGGCTAGCTACATAGCAACATCTGGAGACAAACACATTTTCCATATTTTCCAAAACAGCCATTATTATCTCATCTCCAGTTCTCTCACCTTATCAGGCCTGCCGTTAGCGTCCTTGAGCTGGATGTAGGGCTTCTTCCTGATGCGGTTCAAGTCCTCGTGAAGGCCGTCCAGGAGAAAGGCCAGCAGCTCATGAGAGTCCTGCTGTTGGTAGCCTGAGAACTGTGGGGCGAAACGGCCCACCTGGGTCTGGAGGATGGAACAGACATGAAAAAAAAGGACAGAACAGAACACTATTTTAGTCATGAACCCTACATACAAAACTGCTTAGAGAGCTTTACTGCGAAGGTTTTACCAGGTAGTCACCTTGAAAGGCCTTGGGGTGACGTAGCTGTATTTGCCCGACCACAGCTGCTTGATAAGCTCAGCGTAGGCTCTGGCAATCTCCCCCTTCATGCCCAGCGGGTTGTCCTCATTCAGCTCATCTGTGTACTTGTCTTTGAGGAAGTACTCCGTCAGTGGAGGGATATTGCTTAAACACTGAGGAGGCCGGAGAGGACAATAATCAGCGGATTTAGAAGCCTGAAAAGATCTGCATTTCAAACTTCAATGCAGTCACTGTCTTTTTTTTTTCTTAAATATCTGTGTACATATACATATTGGTGACAAATTAAACAAAAACACAAAGAGTCTTAGTATGGTGTTGGGCCACCATGAGCCTTCATAACACCTTCAGTACTCCTAGGCATATATCCTATAATTAGTTTTTGTGGTTGGCATCTTGGTCTGTGCCTGAAGATCTGTCACAAACCACAGAGCTCAAACAGATCTGCATTTGGGTCCGTAAGTACAAAGTGCAGTCATACACATTTCTGCTGCACTTTTCAAAATTCTTCTAAACTCTAATGAACAAACCTTTGAAGACTAGGATCGAATCAGAATAACTTTCCATGCTTTCCTAGACTGTGTAGGGCTCCCTGAAGGCATGCTGTTACCTGCACTGCAGAGTTCATGAAACAGGTGTTGCCTAGGTTGGAAAGTCCACAGAGGCCTGAGCGCTCACTCTGCCTGCCCTGGTCTGAGTAGTCATAGCTGTTGCTGTAGGGGTGGTAGGACGGCAGACCATAACTCGAATTCTTCACACTGTGCAATAAACATACAAAAGTACAAACAGGCAAGTTATATAGGGTTGGATAGGATTTGTCAAACTACTACAAGCAAAGAAAAGGTTATCAACTGTTGAACACAAATGTAATATGGCTACATCTATGTTAAGTTAAACAGGTATATACTATATCAAGATATAGTTGGTAATACACTCAATAATACATTAAAAACACAACCAGGCCAACATACAGCTTCAGTTTCCACTATTTCCTCTTTGACCAAGAAAAAACTACAATCCAAACTTATGAAACCCCCCAAAAAGACTCCCAAGCTTCCTAGATAACCAGAAAGAGCTTAATGCTCCCCAACTGCAGCAATCAGCAGACCTCTGGGAGGGCTGCAAGGCAGTGTTGGTCGTTTCTGGCTCCCACTGGTCAAGGGAAACAGCTGTGATGGCGGTGGAGGCAGTGGCCTCGCAGTTCAGCACACGGTGGTCCACCCTCCTGCTGTCCACCCTCCTGCTGTCCAGCTCCACCGCCTCAGGCCTCAGGCACCACCAGCAACACAGGAGCATGACATCTCAGCCCCGCCCCGGCCCACGCCGGCCCGCATGTCCACATGAAACTGGAAGACCAGCAGCCTGGATGGGGTTCGGAGGGGGCACACTTCGAGTCCGGCGCATGCAAAGCCTGGCTTTTAGAGGCCGGGGAAGGAAAGTCCAGCTCCAGTCTCCACTGTTGAGTTCGATTAACTCAGCTTAACCTAGTGCAGCACCAGTAGGTCCAACAGCGGTTTGGATATAGTCCAGATCAAGTCTAGTCCTGAATTTGACTTACAAGTCCAGCACAGGCCAATAATCAAGCCACAGAACACATAAACACACACTTTTCCTCTTTCTTAAAGCTAACTAAGCAGATCCCCTCTTCTCTTCTCCCCCCTTCTCCTTTTTCAAGCTCGACCGCCTGTCATCTTGTTATCCTCTGCCTCAGATCTCTTTCCCCCTGTCCTGTCCTGTGGTCTTCTGCTCCTCCCTCTGGCCTGCCTGCTGCTCTCTGCTGCTCTATGGCTACCAGCAGATATTTATAGCAGCATCAGCAGCAGCAAGGATGCTCAAGACTACCGCTACCGAAGCTAGAGGTGCACAGAAAGAAGGAGGGAGGGAGAGGCAGAGAGAATAGGGGGGAGGGGCGGACAGTATGGGGGGGAATGGGAGGGGAGGGGGTGGCAGAAGAGAAATGAGATGGGGATGGAGGGAGCAGCTGATCCACTGCATCCAGCTGAGGCTGCAGTATTCACAGACTTGACTCTGACACTCACTCTCTCTCTCTCACAGATATACACACACTAACACATTCACTCATGCCTAAATCCCCCCCCCATGTTAATTAAACCCCATGACACTGTTAGCACCCCTCAAACACACACTTTGACACTCCCTCTCTCATCCTCTTTAATATGCAAAGGCTGTCTGTATGAGGGCTTTTAAAGGGGAGGGTCAATGTAAATAAACTAAAACCCCACGAAAGGGCTGGTTTCATAGCAGGGGCTGGCCAGTATGTGTGTACTGAGGCAGGCGATGAAGAGGTGCAGGAGCAGATGAAATGCATTCTGAAGGTCACTCAGACTGCAGAACGCGTGCATCGCAATGAGCTCAGGGGAGAGGAGAGGCAAAAAGAGAGAGAGAGAGAGAGCGAGAGAGAGAGAGAGAGAGAGACTGCACGGCAGAATAAGGGTACACCACCTAGTAAAATAGTGACACTTGCTGCTGCTACAGAGCATTGCTACTTAGGCTAAACTAACCAGGCCAAAAACCGCAAAATCAAAAAGACAAGTGTTATGTAAGGCGGGAACACTTCATATGAGAGAAAAAAAAAAGGCCCCATGCATAATTCAGAGAAAACGACAGCGCTGGCACTACAGTGAATCAGGGACAGGAGAGCTGCTGGAAGCAAAGATCCAATTTCCCCAAATCACCCACTCTGTACATCCCACTATCCACCAAAGCTGTACAGAAAGACGATGCCACTGCTATCAAACAATATAAAGCAGAGCTGTGAAGTGACAAAGTGTAACTATACTCCCAACTGTACAAATGTGCGTACAGTACAGGGCAGCAATATAGTGTACTGAAAAGTGTGAGTGTAGGAAGGATAGGCTCCGTGTACTTCAGCACCTTCCTTCTAAGTCAATATTGATTTTATTTCAGGGTGGCTAAGCTTGTGGCTATTACTTCTGCATTCCAACAGTCTCAAAAGAAAACGCAGCGCAGAGTGTCTATAACTAACACACACACACACACACAGAAACACTAGCATGCAGTAAATCCCACACTGAAGGTGGAAGGAGGGGACAGTAAAGTCTACTGGGATACGGAGGTGAAAGCTCCACCCACAGTCGAGCAGTGCTCTCTAGCAGAGGGATGACAGAGCCTCATCAACAGAGCGCATCTTCAGAAAAAAGAAAGTGAGCCGTGCTTTATTTTGGCATAGCAAGAAATTCATTGATATTCGAGATGTTTCTGTCCCTTGCGTCAGCCCTGCCTCTCGTGTCAATATGGTAAAGAACACTGAAGCTCCAAAAAATGTAGGCTAGCACTCGAGCTAGCTGCATAATTAAGGGTACACTGTTATTTTCTTCACTAATGATTAACACTAACACTTTTGTTATTGTTACACCCCAGATGTTGTGTTTCAACATCAGTTACATGCAGGGGCGCTGTTAAATACCAGGATGACTCAGGGAGTCCAAAGTTGGAAAGGCAGGCTTTAAACAATGCAACATGAAACCAAAATGGAATTAAAGATGGTGATGTGGGCAGTCAAATCTTATAGTGTCCAACTCTGGAAATGACTGCAGTAGAAACGAAAGGATCTCAAAACACTTTAGATTAACAACAAAATGGATTATTTCCTTTTATTTGGTATGTTGGTATGTTAAAGATAACCAACAGTTGTGAGGCTTGCACCCCAAATACAGTGCTGCTATTTTATCATTTGAAAGTTGTAATTACATTCACAATAAGAGTAAGGCCATGCAGACTGCATTAAAAAGGGTCTGCGTTAGTGAGGGTGTACTGCTTCAGGTACCGGTGGTGGAACATAAAATAGGAGCCAGGATGACCAGTTCGAGTAACAGATCAGTCAGTGTGAAGTTTTATCAGACGCCAAAACACTGCACACCGATGTACCCAACAAGATTTTACAACTCTGGAAAGTTACTACGGCAACTATTATATTTCATCGCAGCGGTTGGGGGGTAAAAGAAATAAGCTTTTCGACGTCTAAAGTCAGTCTGAACACGGCCTAAGATGCGGGCCTAGAAACACCATCTTTGAAAAAATATCAGCATGGACTTAGAAAAAGCCTCCTAATGAATAGGAAAACAATTTAGTTGTTTATGTTATTTGGATATACTTTGGTGCTAAATCAGATAAATGTTCTGCCTCAGGCTTGTAACTGCACCCCAAATACATGCCGGAAATTTCATTACTCGAACGTTGCGATTGAGTGTTGTACAAGAGTAAGACAGCAAGGGTGAAACAAAGACCTTTGTGGCACACATTAATGGGTAGAATAAAGAACACATGGACCATAATCATGCAGCCCTGGCCAGAGCTATCAATCAGTAAGGTAGAAAAACCAGGTGCAAACTATCAACTAACATAATTAAACACTGAGTAAGGCGCCCAGAGGCAACGGCGGGCCATTTCTAGAGAGCACTGCTGTCGCTGAAGAAAATTCCAACGAGATCAATCCCTCGTAAGCCCCTTCCCCCTCCCTGCTATGAGCTCTTACAGCTGAAACTGCATCATCATGAGATAGCTTTAAGTCCCAAATAACAGCCAGAGATAGACCTGTACAAAACAATGCTGGACAAACTTCATACTTAGATACTTGCTAGCTGCTTCATTTAGCATGGCTGAATAAAGAATGAGTGTAAACTGAGCAGAACAGATGAGAAAAGGTTTAAATAGATCAAACTGAAGTCACTGTAGACTTTCTTTAAGCCACTACCACTTCGCCAATTTGATCTGAAGTTTGTGCCGAGCGACCGCGGCAGACTCCATCTCTGGCTGTTGGCATCCAAACCCACCCCTCAGCTAGTCAACCCACTACTAAGCCTTACTTCCTGCTGTTGAAGCTGCTGTTATGATTGTTTGTGAGAGATGAAGGCGAGATCTTTGGCAAAGCAGAGAGATTGGAAGCGCCAGATGACCTTCAAAAGATAAAGAATAGACCATGAGTTAGAGTGGAGGAAATAAGGAGCTGTTCCAGAAAGGTGTGCGAGTGGCAGATAAATTAAACTGAGATGAATTCAAATAAATAAGAGGGATATGTCGGCAACAAAAGGTCAAGCAAAAGAGGAAGTCTGAGGCAATGTCAAAGATATAGGACATTTTTGAAGATGATGAGGTGCTGTACTGACATAGCAGGGAAACCTTTAAAAAGGCTACATAATGAAATTTTGCAATTTCCAAAGAGGCAATAGAAAAGGTGTTTCAGACAGGATTCTGGTGTGTCACATCTGACCAAAAAAAAGTCCCTTTCTATTTAAAAATAAAAAACAGCCTGTGTGTGATCTTTTGGTAAATCGAAAGTAGTGTTTTGATAAAGCGTGGAAATTCTATTTCTGTGGTAACTTCTTCCTCCAGTCAACAAAGCAATATAAAGCCAGGTGCTGTGCCGTTCACTCACTTGGGTGCCGTAGAGCCTCGGGGCCATGTGCCATCCTCGCTCTTCTGCTCTATCACGAGAACCTGTGGGAGATGACAGAAAGAAAAAGAGGGCTCCATCTGCTTCCACTTGTTCAAAAGACACCAGACCTTTAAGGAGTTGCATCCTACACTGACGACTGACACTGAAGATGTCGCTTGCACTCTGAGCAAAAAGGTTGGTTGTGTTTATCTTTTTTAAGGCAGATTAGTTCAAATCTGAAAACTCCAATTAATGTTATTTGGATTTGGTCATTCGGATGTAACCAAAACAGACATTTTTAAATGAAATCAAGACTGGTACACATTTTTAATTAATAAACACAAAAGAACAGATGTGTTTTGCCTTTCCACATACTATGAAGATCTGCCAATGACTTCTTAAAAGTGTCCTTTACATAATGTGCATAGTTACTGTACTTCTAATGGGAAAAGACAGGGAGCCGGATGAATCTTATCCACTGTTTCACTTGGTGAGGATTTGTCCGAGGCTCAACAATCCTCTGGAAAAGCTGCTGGTGAGCGGGGCGGCACTGCGGTCTGAAGCCTGCCGGCTCAGTGTGGCCAGGTGTCTAAATTAAACTAGGCTTGTACAGAGAGTGTACTCGTCTTCCAGGTGGATGCCAGGACATATGCGCACAGTTTAAGCAGCTTACAAGGAGAGGTTAAGACCCTCGCAATGGCAGCTGACAAACAGATGTTGTGGGTTTTGAAGCTGCAACCATCATTACAGGATGGTCTTGTGCATTGTGTCGGCATAAATCTGCAAAAAGTCAGATTTAAATAATTTACTGAATATCACCTCCATATAAATATGTTTCTGCTTTGCTGTCTATCACCATAGATTTTAATTTTGTTGCATTTGTTGCCCGTACCACCCTATGGGGAGACTTTTCTTATGTTAAGCCTTTACCCAGGAGAGAAACTGGGTAGATGATACAAGCAGTGTTGAAGACAAAAAGACAGGAGAGCCACCTAAAGAGACTCAAACTTCAACAGAACAACAAAGAAGACACTAGTCACCAGCAACAGCACTGACACCGCTTTTATATTATTTCATGGTAAATGATAAAGAATTGAGCACAAAAAAAGAAAGTAACACACTGACATTAGTTAGACTGCCCTCTGCAGGTCATGATAACCTGCTGGATACAGATTCAAACAAAGCAGAAACGTTGTCTGAAGCTCCACTCTGATGTGGCCTAAAAGGGCTGACTGGCAGAGAGCACAAAGAAGGAAAAGCTATCTGATAAGGGTGATTGAAACTACAGCATATTTCACTAAGCTCAGGAATAATAACTGTCTACAGAGCAAGCCATAAAAAAAAATTTAAGATGACTTTAGGAAGAGCACCCTGCAGAGGTTTTCAAACTGTTCTCACATTGTGACGATTTCAGATAAAACTAAAAAAGGCCCCAGTCCCTACCTGTCCTTGGTAGAGGCCGGCGTCTTGAATGGTGCTGTCCGGTTTGTTGAGAGGCTCAAAGGTATTGCTCATGTACCTGTTCCACAGCCTGGTCTCCTTCTCATCAGGGATGCTGAACAGCTTCCTCATGTCCTTCTCTATCATGTCTGCAGCAAAGCGTGCATATAAGGAATAAAACTGTGGTTCAACATTATCTTGTTAAAAAATGAAATTGCCAGGAATTCCTTCACATACTTGCAGAATGGAACAAGAAAAAAAAATCATTAAACTAAAATGGAGGAACTAATCAGTAGATTAATCTGTTTGCAACCTGAAGAATTTTGGGGCGTGACGGCACATGGTTGACAGAAGCCAATAATAATGAAACGTGGTTTCATGCAACATGGAGGCACTGAAGAGGATGTTTCAGTGTAACTTCTTATTAGTGTAGAGGGTTATTGGTGGTGAAGACAGACATAACAAGTAATGGAAGGTAAGACCTTTTATCATCATCATGTTTGTGAATGTTATAATAATAATAATAATAATAATACATTTTATATATGGCGCTTAAAAAAAAAAAAAAAAGTACTCAAAGGCAATTTACACTGCAAAAAGAATAAAAGTTCAGCGTAAAAACCTCAATAACAACTAGAGATAACTATTAAAAGTTAAAAGCAAAAACAGCATTATTTTGTGTGCATGTGAGAGAGTGTGTGAGCACGTTACAGTCTAGAAATCCTCTGTACTTCATGAACAAGAGCATGATAGCTGTTGTTTATCTATGTTTTGATTTATGTTTTTAAAAAATAAAGACATTTTGGTTAAGACCCATCATCATTTACAAGGTTTCACTTCTGTGTGTCTTAATCAAAACAAAAGGACAGCAAAGTTACGAAACTCTATCTGAACTCCTTGGAGGTCATGTAAATATGACCAGCAGTGTAAATAAGGCTCCACAGTGACTAAGGCCTACCTATTGTGTCAGCTTTACTGAAGCGTCTGGTGATCACATTGTCCATGTTGCTGTCTTCACAGAGCTTCAGCTCTGTCAGGTACACCTCCACCTTGCAGTGCTTTACAAACATACCCTGTTCCACCACCTGGAAAATAACACAGGAAAATGACTGTCCACAAAATCATCCATGATTTATCAAATACAGATATACTGCATATATGCAGACGCCAAAATCCAATACTACATGGGCTTATAAAGCTTTAGCAGAATAGGAATAGGCTTGCTCAGCCCATCAGATACACCTCTTACATTACCATGTTCAAATTATTTATCTGCGGTCTTACAGAATGAAAAGTGGCGGGTAAATTTGGGGTTGTTCTAGCTTCTGTTTCTCATGAAGAACAAAGTACACTCTGCTGGCCTGGTTGCCACTCATGTGGTGTCCTGATAGGAGTAGAGTCTGAGTGAAGTGCCTAAATTAGAAGCACCTCGTGGAAACAGCTGAGGGGTCCCAGCCCATTTATCCCCCCCCCCGACACACACACACACACACACACACACAGTACCAACTTCCCAAATCTCACACATACAGCTCAGATTCCCACCCTCACCCCTTCCCTGCCCATAACCCGGTGTGCCCACCCTGCCCCTCAGCACAAGATGTGTTTGTAAACGCAGAGAAAAATCTCTGACAGATTTTCTAATCAGTGCCGAGCTAAAACCATTTACCCCACCCACCCCACCCCCTCCTCCCACACTGGTTATGCCTCTCTCGCACTCCTCAGAAGCGTTCACGCTGCTTCTCTCAGTGTAACCTCAGCTGGCATTCCTCCACTTCAGAAAACATGGACGCGCAGGAACTCTCCGCCAGTGCTGGCAATCAGACCAGAAGAGGACAACGGAAGGAAACATAGTGCCAAACCTGTGACTACAATCCTCTTAAATCCTCTTTAAACGCTTGTGCTTTCCCCCGCACCTCAGGATGACAACCCCTCAAAAGAAACAAAAGGGTTTAAAAAAAAGAGAAACAACTTATAATGGACCTCCTGCATGTTGTGTCTCGCAGATCGCTCCATGTAGCTTTTCAGTCATCCAGAACGTTGCCTGAAAATAGAAACCCCGTGGCCACCCGATATGTCCCACGACATACATGGCAAAATGGGAGGGTCAGTGGAAGGGGGGAGAAAGAACGAGAGAGAGAATGATAGAGGAGCCTCTTCTAGCAGCCATGATGCCATGACTAGTGAGATTTGAAGCGGGGATTTGAAACCGTTGGCCCTGTTAAACTGTAGTCACCATCATTAAATATTCCACTGACTAATCAACTGTAACTGCACATACAGCCTTTCAGTGGTTTGTTTCACTCTACCAAAATGTGAGTAAAAGTACTTTTTACTTCAGTTAACCCTAAAATTAATAATCGCTGTTCATGACAGGAATGAATGAAAAGCTGAAGGAAATGAATGAAAAACACCATCAGTGAAGCGTCCTGTTCATGAACGGCAAATATCCACCACATCAGAGTTATTCTTATTTGTTTCCAGCTCCTGCGCACAGTGTGCCTTTGTACATCTAACTGGTCAAATAAATCAACTCAATAGGTACTGCAGCATTTCTTCCAAACTAATTGTTCTTGGCTATTCTTTTTGCCACGGAGCCATATCAATTTTATCATGAAGAACTACAGTAAAAGACGCATTATTATATTGGCTGCGTATTTTACTATTTCATGTTGAGTAACACTTTTTCATAATTCAAGTTTCTGTTACAATTTTGCTGCACTTCTGATATCCTGATCTCAAACGGCCATATGAGCGCACATTTCTCCCTTTCAACACAAGCCACATTATACACCATTGCTACTGAACACAACCATTAAATTGCATTAGAGATATAAGTATTATATCATATAATGAGTATCATATAATGCAGCGAGACCAACACTCTCCATCTATCATCATAGTCTTGAACTGAACCCTTACCTTGCGTGCAATTGGCTCCTGACCATCTGTTAATCCATACCAGCTGACGAGCTTGTTCCAGCCCTCTGTCGGGACCAAGATGTAGTCGAGCTCATCGATGAGGTGCTCCTTGATGGCCAGCACGTCCCCATCTAGAGGCCGGGAGGGGGTGAGAGAAAGGGTGAGAAATGAGCGTGCAGACAGAGGGAGAGAAAGCACATTGTGGGACAACACTTACACTGGTGACACAGTGTAGTGACTGTCTCGCACGACAAAAAACACACAAAGAAAAAGGTATGCTGGAGAGCTTTCTATGAACCCACCAAAAAGGCTACTCTATGGGGTCAGTCAACAATGTTCTTTTTGTTCCCTTTTCCTCTGAACTCTTTGTTACTACTTCCAGAATGATAAAGCTATACTGACCAGGGGTCCGTGGTGTAACGTAAGGCCACACAGCATTTAGAAATACATGACCCTAATGGTGATTCAAGGCATCAGGAGGTGATGCATGATCTGTCTTACCTCTGAGAAGACCAGAGTTATCAACGGGTCCTGGGTAGACATTCTGGTCCCCCATCTGGTATTTGTCCCAGCTGTCATATCCCACATATTTCTTCCACTGTTTGAACCAGCGACTGTCCACAAGGTACCTGAAGAGAAGGCAAGCAGTGTTACTTCACTGCCAATCAGTCTAGATGGTTCAAGGCTCGTGCAACAATCTGTGAGCTGTAAACTAAAGCTTTTGTATTCCTTTCCACACGTTAAACGGTGATTATAGAAATGCTCCGGCAGGTGGAGGATACCTTGCTGTCAGTTCTCTAAACAAATCTGACTTTGAGAGACAAATATAACACAGATTGATAGTTGTAACAGTAGTACTTTTGACGTCGACTTGAGTTCAGGTTGCCGCATGCCTGGACAGCTGGCTCTGTTTTTGACAGGTGCTTCTTTCCGACTCCGCCCTGCCGAAGTCGACAGATGAACCCACTGACTGGCAAATCACTTGGAGCTTCGGAAGTCTGGCCAATTAGCTAATAGCCTGCTAACTAAGACCAGACAAACGAAATGCAGCCTCACTGAGATCATGTCACCAGATAAAAAGTGCGATGGTCATTTGGAGCACAACCACCAGAATACAACTTTTATTGTAAAGACACGTGGGATCTGTCGGTCTAAATTGACAGGATAATAGCCAACGTTAGCGGGAGCACCGCTAGCATGCCAAGCGCACACATGACGCTGACAGGCTCCCGTTAGCTGGCTCAGAGCTAACTGTCAACACGGCCCGTCACCTCGGCTTTCTTATCCTTCATGGCGTTGACAGTTTCGGCAGAGCCAGCCGACGGCCGCGCGGCGTCTCTGAAAAGGTTTCAGCCCAAGCCTTACCATGTGTCTCCCTTTCTTAGCTGTGTTTTCAGTAGTGCCGCCACCTCTCCTCTCTGGGTATCCAGATCAGCCGCTCCTCCTTCCGCCATCTTTCCTTAGACATCACCCGCTGCATGGTGGGAAATTGCGGGGCGTCACCGAGGC